AGAGGGCAGAGGAGTAATTATTTTAAAATTAATACCGGATATTTATTTAAGAAATAAACAATTGAGCATAGTGTTACAATAAAGCTTAAACAATTCAATAATAGTTGAAAAAAAAACATAAATCGAATTACTTAAAATCTTTCGAGAAAATTGCTGGTTCGTAATAGATGAATTACCCTATATAATCATAGGTTACTATTGAAAAAAAATGATAACCATTACATAAACATAAAATAAGGCTCCTAAATTGGAACACATTTATAGAAACGTAATTGAACAATACAAGCTCAAACAATTACGTAAAATATGCAAAACAGATAAATCGATGAACTATCATACATTTCCGCGATGACTTCGTAACAAAAATTTAAATTTTGAACTTATTAGGTTTATTATTATCCATCTACAAGTAAGAGAATGTATTATGTGTTTAATTCGCATGTGTGTAGTGTGTATGTGAGTCTCTTTATTCCATCATAATTCTTAAACGCCTGAACCGATTTAAACGTGTGTGGTTTCATTAGACTTGTTACGGTGTCTTGTCAAGTTAGGTGACATCATACAAAAAATTGATTGTGAGGCTGAAAATAGTCCTAATCGTATATTATGTTTGCACTACCAGTTGATATGCTAAAAAAATGTATCACGTGCTGTAAATACTTTAGTGCATTGATATTCAAAAGACGTACCAGGCGATTAAAATCTCGAACTCGTTATTTAATTTGTTTGTAAAACTTTTACAGTATGATATACTTGTTTGTTGTATGTTATATAATTATTTTGTACAACGATATATTCTAAAAACACATATTTTTGAGTTTTTACCACTTATTAAATAGTTTAAAAATAAACGACTACGAACAAAAAGAACAAATTATATAGAAATAATCTAAAATATCACTCAAATTACCCTTCAGGATCCGATATCACTATATCTGTAAATTATGTTCAATTTTTCACAGTAGATATTTTTTTTTATATTTTATTATCTTTCAATTTAAAATACAAAACTTTACAAAATATTTACTTTTATTGTAGAAAATACCGTATGTATTTAATATATTACGCATTAAATACGCATTCATATAGGTCTTGCTATCGTCGTACGTCGTCAGGGCCGAACACCTATGTGAAATTTGGAAAAACAATATTTTCATTCTGTTAAATCCTGCTAAATGCACTGATGATGCTATACTGTGGTTAAGAAAAGTGAGTATTTTCTAAAAGTTAATATTTTTTAAATTTATATTAATATATTATAATATTTGTTGTTGTATCTATCTGTTTCATATTATCATACACCAGGTGACCTATATTTAAGTGGGTACATTACTTCTGAAAGTATTAACATTTTTCAAAATGTTTATTTTTGACAATTTAAAAAACCAGCATTTCTAAAATGTCACATTGCTATCATTTTTGTCACTATTTTTTTTTAACAAAATATATTATAACTTACTATAAGTTGTACCGATTTTCCCAGTTTACCCTTTTTCAACAGTTTTTCCTGTTTTTTCTCTGTTTTGATCGGTTTTTCAAATTTTATGAGAAAACTCCTGAGAAAATTAAAAAAATTACCTCTTTAAAGTACCTTCCTAATACATACTAATGAATACATACAAAATAATATTCGTAATGAAATAACAAGTATCTATATTTCGTAAACAGACATATTTTAGGTTTCGGCGAGTAATAATATTATTAAAGTAGGTATAAAAAGGTTTTAGGCCCCTATTGCCAAAACCCATCTCGCCGAATCCTATTTAACTGAATTTCGCCGAATCACATTAAATACCTACTATACTTTTTACTATATTAAATTTTACCTAGGCACTCTGAAAATAATTTAATATCTATAACTACCTATCAGCTGAACTCTTGAGTGATAGGAAATAATACCAACAATTTTAACAAAATAACGTTATACATATTATATTACCAGAACAGAAAATTAATATACGTGATCTGACTTTGAACTTTATTAGTATGTATTACTATGTATAAGGTATATACTCTTATATAGAAATAATTTGATATTAACCGCAAATATATTGTTTTGGAATTATGATTTATGACAATTTTAATCGAATTGCATTTATAACAGTGACGGATTAACCTTCTCGGCACCCTGAGGCACGCTCAGTGATCACCGCCTCACATTTTTTAATACTATCCAAAGATCGTAATTTGAATGGGCTAACATCGAAGAATGCTGGGTAATCAAGTATAGCCGTCCCGGGAGTGAGAAATGGTTCATAGGTATTATGGTTGAATAAGTTACTATCTATATATTCCATGAGGAGTACGAATTATTTAAATAATTTAATGCAGTTCTTTTCGAACTTTTAATTGAGAAAAATCATTTACCAAGTCATCAAAGTCTAATTAGTTTGTAATGCGATTCACAATGCACAGTATGGAAAAAGCGTTGAGTTTTTCTTCCAGTAAGTTTGCTAAATTTTTGAATAAAACATGGAGTACGTGGTATTAGTAAATTGTCGTTAATATAACGATTAATATAAAACACTTAATATAATATACGGTAATATAAATAAATTATAATATATACTTACAAATAATTTAACAGACCTATTGTACTTGTAGTTGTACGCATTACACTGCAAAGAACTACTAACAAGTGTAGAACACAATAAAAATAAAATCATGTTGACTGTTGATTTCGATTTCGGTTTAGCAATAATACTGGGAAAAATGATGGGAAACCCTTGATAACAATATTATTTTCTAGTATTTCTCATGCGTTACGCGTATTGTGTAATAATGCAATTTATAATAAGAAACATGTAGCCAATAATTTATTATCGGGCGATTTGTCATCACGTGTTTTCGAACTGTTCGCGCAAATAGACGTTTCAAAAATAGGCGGGAAATCAGGCTGGAGATTTAAATTTCATATTTTCAAATACCAAAAATGAAGAGTACTCCATTTAAATGACATTAATCGTATTCTTTGTATTTTAGTTTATTTTTTTGAGAATAAAAATAAAATAACATAAAAACTTTGCCACCCCCTACAAGTTGCCACCATAGGCTCGAGCCTCACGAGCGTAATGGTTAATCCGCCACTGATTTCTAACCGTTATTATTAAAATATTAATAAGTAAATAAATAATGAAAAACTCGTGTAAAAAAGTAATTTGTTAATTAACTTAACTTTTTAAACTTTTAATGCCTAGCTTTGTCAAATTTTTTAGAAGACCAAAAAACGCAATTTTTTAGATAATAATTTTATTAAAGCAAATTGTCACTAATTAAGCTCTAATACTGACTCATAGGCTTTGAATGAGGTTAAAAAATCGATTGTTGATTGTAAAAATATATATCGAAGTTAACGTTGGATTAATCGATGTAGATATAATAATTATGCCATTTACGAGAATATGTATATAAGTCAATTTCCAAAAAATGGTCGCTCTTTTAACTTCAGTATTATTATTAGAATAATTGATTTTCGTCATTTTAGTTAATTACAGCAATATATTTACACGGTATAGGTATATAATATTTGGGTGATGGTAATCAATAATAAAGATTCGCGAAAACTGCAAATTGTTTAATGTATAAAACGTAAACCGATAAAGACGTCCTCTATAACTTAGATATAATTTGACCTTATAACCGTAGCCATATTGGAAACTTGATTTATACTAAAATAGGAAAACTCAGCAGCATAATAATATTACCTACATAATTGTTATAATACCGAACCGTGTTATTGCAGTTGATCTGCGTAGGTCCGGTTCACATCCGCCGATGCAGCGTGATGCGCAGTGTAGATTTCCTGTTTTCTATTTTCAATCAATCGAAATGGAAACGTTTCCTATTGTCATTATATTTGTTTCCTACAATATAATATACAAATAATAAAACGTAATAATTTATAACGTCCAATTCTCGCACGCTGTAATGGCGAGTATTAATACAATTTTTATCTATGAAATGTGTCCCACTTATCACGAATCAGCGATTATCTATGAAGATTTTAAAACGTACGTGCTTGGCGCTACTAAGAGATATCTAGAGATACATTTGCTAACACCTCAAAAAAAAATGCATTTTAAAAATGTGTTAATTATACTCGATATTTATTATTCATGGCACAGTGAAATTGATTAAAGTAGTAACATAACGAGTAAATAGTAAAATTATGTTTAATTATTTATGGAAACAAAATCATATATTCATGAATCAAGACTGTGATAATATTAATTATTTTCCCCTGTACGAGTTGTTTCTATATAATTATAAAATCAATAAATATTTATCAAGATAAAATACTTTTAGATTTTGAGTGGAGAGAAGAAGCATATGGTTTTACAAAAATGTTTATTTTTTTTCAAAAATTAATGAAAAACGAGAAAATGTAAGAATTATACGTATTAGCTAAAAATTATAACGGCTCTTTTTTTTTCTTATGTGCAACTTTTCTACCAGAAATCTGACACCCATTTTTAAGTGTACACTTAAATAACAAATTATGTAGTCCAGTGCTGTCATCGTTGTTGTTATGTGTTTTAGATCTTTGAGTCGTTTCAGTTGATAATGTTAACTGTCCAAAATGACTTTAGTCGAAATTTGTAGAACTGGAAGGTGAATATGAATATTTACTGGACAAAATGTGTTGTGGATAAACATTAGTTATATATGTATTAATATTTTTTATTTCATATAGAGTAACTAATGCCGATATCTTAGAATTTATTTCTATTTCTAGCATGGGTGAAAAAGTTCTAATTGTATCTTCCACTGACTTAAAAAATGACGTTAAATAATATGTTTATATTAAATCACATCTCCTTTAAAATTAGGTAACCTAGGATATCTTTTTCGATTCACATTAATCTAAATCAGCGGTTCTCAACCTGGGGTACGCGTACCACTAGAGGTACGTGACATGATGTCAAGGGGTACACGAAAAAAATTGAATAATGGCGGAAGAAATTTTTTTTTTTATTTTAAAAAATAAAAATAAATGCAATATGCGTACTTACCTTTCTACGGGTAGTGCTAAAGAAGATTCTGTCGATGCTTCATTTCGAATTAGTTATTGTATCGCTAGAAATGGTAAAAATCATACCATCGGCGAAAATTTGATTTTGCCAAGCATTAAAGACGCAGTTTCTTGTATGTTTGGAGAAGACTAGGTCCATAAAATAAATGCTATCCCATTATTAAATGATATAATCAGCCCTAGAATCAAAGAAATTTCTGATGATTATTGAGAAGACAATACCAAAAGATATCCATGACAGTTCATTATATTCCATTCAAGTTGACGAGAGTACTGATGTCGCACAATTAGCTGTTTTGCTAGTAATTGCAATGTATTTAAAGAAAAATGAAAACATAGGAGAGCTTTTACTTTGCCATCCTCTTACTAAACGTGCAACAGGTGCAGATATTTTTCACGCAATTGTGGTGGTAAATCTATGTCTGGTTGTTACTCTGATCTTCTTGCGCGTGTCCTGGCAGTAGCCTCCTTGGTAAAATGGGCTCATTATTGCATCCATCGACAAGCTCTTGCATCGAAACCTCTTCCAGTTGATTTGAAGAACGTTCTGGTAAAGTGATCAACTTCATCAAGTCTCGCCATACAAACTCCAGAATTTTTTTATCATTGTGTGAAGACATGGGCAGTTTTCACAAAACCCTCCTTCTTCATACTGAGGTTCAATGGTTATCACGTGGTAAGGTTCTTGCACGTTTATTTGAACTTAGGCATGAAGTTCAAATATTTTTCGAAGACCGTCCTTTTCAACTTTCATTAAAATTTAACGACCACGAATAGCTTCAAAAACTTGCATACTTGGCCGATGTTTTTTTGAAATTAAACACTCTAAATTTGATTCTTCAAAACAGTACACTGACAACATTTCAAGTCACTGACAAAGTAGAATTTTTTGTTAAAAAGTTAGAGTTTTGGAAGTCATGTATTGATAATAATCAACCAAAAGTTTTTTAAACACTACACGATTTCTTCTGTGAAACGGATAGGATCTTATCTCAAGATATCAAAAAACAAGTTATTCAACATTTGAATGGTCTCATAGCGGCTTTTGAAAAATACTTTCCTAAATGTGGAAAAGAAGATCACTGGATCGCATTTCCTTTTAGTGAAAACTATTTCAAATCTGCAGTTTATCAGTACAAGAAAAAGAAACACTAATAGAACTGAAAACCGATTCTTCACTTGAGGCAGCATTTAAAAAGAAATCTACTGTCGTGTTTTGGGTTGATGTGAAAGAAGAATATCCTGAGCCATCATGCAAGGTATTCAATGTTCTGCTACTATTCACAAGCACTGTGTTGGTGGAAAGGACCTTTTCTACGTACACGTTCATAAAAAATAAGTATCGTTATAAACTGTCTGTAAGTTCAGATCTACGGGTTTATTTGTCATGTGTGAAGCCAGATTTAAAAAAATTAAGTTCAAGCAAACAAGCTCAAGGTTAGCATTAAAGTTGATATTATTATTTTTATATATATTCTATGACGCAAGCTAATAATAAATATTTCTAAATTTTCCTTTAAAATTAATATTATTATTATTTTTCATTTTTTATATTCCAAATTGATATTTGGGGGTACGTGAAATAGCTGTGAGAGATCAAGGGATACGTGAATGAAAAAGAGTTGAGAACCGCTTGTCTAATTCAATATAAGCATTTCGTTTTTTTAGATATTCAGAGAGCCAATTATTTTATTATCATCTACATTTTCCGGATCATTTCAAATTTGATTTGAATTTAGCAAGTTACTTGTTTATGATCTTTTATCACCAAAGTGAGTTTTGAGAAAAGACATTTGTTGTTCAAACTTCCAAGGCTTAGTTGTGCTTGTTGCCTGACTACTTTTAGTTTTTCTTTTAATCAACGCTTTGCGATAGCAATCTCGTAATGATGTTCACCTCTTTTTTAAAACATCGACTGAAATTAAATTGATTAAATATGTATAACAATAAAGTACATAATAATAAATTATTATTATTAAAGTATATATAATAAACTATTATGATATATTATATAGTTTTTATACAAATTAAATAAAAATAATATATGGTTTAATACTCGTATGATAGTCATATAAATTTCAAATACTTTTTTATAGAAAAATATAATTAAATTTAAAAAAAAATGAAATATAATGTTCAAAAATATTTAAAAAATGTTAAAAAAATAAATCTTTTCATTTTATTTAGATTTCTCGGACATGGCGATTCATTTAGATCATTATTATTTAGTTACACATTAGGTGAAAATACTATTGGATAAATTGTTCAAAATAAGTGTAAAGCAATTTGGGGTATATCGTCTCTACTGTACATACCACTACCTAACCGCCATATATGGGAAAATATAGAACACAGGTTTTCAAACAAATGGCAATACTCTAATTGCATAGGTATTTATAATATTCAATATATTATTATTAATATAATTAATATTTAATATTAACATTTAATATGTTATTATATATATTTGTATATTATATTATAGGAGCATTAGATGGCAAACACGTTGTGACAAAGAAGCACAAAAATAGTTGGTCACTTTTTTTTAATTATAAAAAGGATTTTAGTGTAATTCTGCTAGCACTAGTAGATGCAGATTAAAAGTTTGTGACAGTGGACATTGGCACCTATGGTAAGAACAGCGATGGTGCCATATTTAGAAACTCTCAATTAGATAAAAGTTTATATGATGACAAAATGGATATACCACCTTCAAAACTATTTCCCAATTCAAATACAGAACTCCCCCATGTAATTGTCGCAGATAAAGCTTTCCCATTACATAAGCATATAATGCGTCTTTACCCCGGATCATAGCTCCGCCAAAATTTGTCGAATAAAATTTGTAACTATAGATACAGCAGAGCTAGGTGTGTTTCGGAGAATGCTTTTGGTATTTTAACTAAAAATTTCGAATATATAGTCAAAAACTTAAAATTTCTCCAGAACATCTTGACACAGTATTATTAACAAAAGTTTATCTACATAATTTTTTAAGAGGAGATGAAAATAATTTGTGGCAACTAGGAGAATTAGAAAACAATGATACAACTAAATTTTTTTAAACTTTTAGGATGGACATTTGAAAAATTGGTCCGGTCGATTATAATATACACTTCACACTAAATTTGAATCTGTTTTACAAATTCTTGTTACTTAACTACGTCAATTGGACTGATTAACTTTGTACATTGATATTGATAAAAAAAAATAATTTTACTGGTTTCGAACCCCTTTAACTATATGGTATACTATTCGACGTTACCTTGTTTCTTTGATCGTTTGCGTGTGTTTATCGTTATCACAAGTGATCTTCATTATGTAAATAAATTATAAGTTTTATATTTTGGAAACTTTGGGTGTGAAAGTAAAGTATTATATTCATGCCATTCTTACGGACATACGAGTACATGAAAATAAAATCGAATAACGTGAAAACAATATATTGCGGTGTATATGTACTCCAGTGTTTCCCAACCTTTGGTTGGACATTACGGTATACGAACCGTTCAGAAAAACTTCGGGACAGCATTATTTTTTATCCTGCCTATAATTGAAATTCGGTCCCATGGATCACACGTAATTGGTAAGTCCACTTATCGGACAGTTGGGAAACACTACTACTACCCGTGTACCGTTGTATTAACAATGATAAGCATATTATTTAAAATCAATATCATTGTTTTCTTTTGGTCGATCGATCACACATTGTCACGACATCTGCGGTATCTTTTCGTTTTTGCCCCCTCGATCATTATCGCGTGTCATAGGGGACTGTTCCACACACTATGTATACATTTTATAATCCGATGAGAAAGGGATCACCTGCGGCTAACAGAATTAAACAAGAGGGATCTACCTTTTTCTGTTTCCCCACCATACATTTCTGTTTTTTTGGGGTTGTGGTGAGACCTTGAGGGGGTTATAATATTAAATTTTAGATTTAGACGAGATACAATTTTAATATTATACTTAACGATAAAAATATAATAAAATGTTTGAACGTTGTATTTTAATTTAATAAAATAGGCATTTTGTAAAAGATAGTCAAGCTATTCGTTTCAATTTCTAGAAAAAAGTGTAAAAAAAAATTCAAGAAACTACTGTTGCAATAAGGAATTAGCGTGCCGCAGTTTTAATTATTATTGAATGTTAATTGTTTTCACACTTTTTTTCTAGAAATTAATACGGCTATTACTAAGAAACTATTCATCGGGTAAATTAAAATTTTTAGAACAATATCATTTAAAAATGGCTATTTTGAAAATTTAGTAAAGTGAATAAAAAAAAAAATTATTTTGTTTTTTTATTTAGGGATTGAAAAATAAAATTTAATATTTTTCCAAATCGATGTACCTCAAAGAAACAATGATTAGAAAACAAATTTTAAAAAAGTTAATATTAACCGCTCTAGAAAAATCCGTCGAACATAGTAGGACACACGGTGTTACATTATAGTAAAATAATTACATATGCATTATATATTTTATTTAATAATAACATTTGTTTAATAATGTATCTATTTTTCCGTTTTTCCTGTTTTTTCCCAGTTTTTCCCATTTATTTCCTATTTATTTTTAAAACTCCTGGAAAAATTAGTAATTTTCTGTAAATTCTGGATTCAATTATTTTTTATTATTTAATTATTTTTATCATAACTATACATTTTTTTTTTCTCTGAAATTTAAAAAATTATTAAAAATCGCGAATACAATGAAAATAAAAAGTTGTTAAGTCAAAATGTACAGAAAAATAAATTATATAAAATGATTATCTTTAAATTTTTTGAAAATAATAAATACAATTTTTTCTTTAGTTTTTTACCAAAACATAAACATTTAATTAAAATATAAATATTTGTAGTCCTTATCACTGCGAGTAATGAAAAAAAAAAACTAAAACAGAGTTTGATTATATTTATTATCCCTAAACGTATTACAATGGGTATATCTTCGCAGGGCATTCTTTCTACTGCTGTTTAAAGTGGCATTTTTCATGTATCGATTATATAATTATTACCAAATTAAAATGTTGTAAATAGATATAATTAAAAATAATTATTATATTTAGATATTAGCCTTTTTTTTTGGAGATTAATGTTCATTTTAATATGTAAATCAGTCACAAAAGTTAACATCAGTAAAAGGTACTACTTTATTTTATCATCGGGCATATCAAAAAAGGTAAGTTGTTAATTACTCGAAAAATCACTTTTTGTAGTTATTGCATTAGTCACTACAACAATACGACATACTCTATCTACTCATTACGACGGCAGCGTAGGTACATTATTTGTATTGTATTTATATCTAGATAGCACGTATTATAGGCAAAATTATAATATAGACGGGTGAATATTTTGATTTTTTATTCGTGACACACGACCGACGGTAAAAATTAACGGCGACGAAATAATGCACGGCTTGTTTACGCTCCACGGACCTGTGACCGATGTTTATGGAACGCCACAGAAATCCGTTTACGGTTCCGCGATAAGCGCACACCATTTTCGAATCCGGACGACAGACAGGACAGATAGGTATAATAATACTGTTGCTTAAAGATCGTGGAAACATTATGAGTTTCCCCGGTTTTCCACAAAATTACTATAATAATAATGATAACGTTCTTATTTGCTTGATTGGTGTCCTCGGCCGTTCGTTTTGCCCTGAAATTGGATATTACGCACGTCAATTGCGGAACGTTACTTTGCGTTTGTTCAATTATAATTATCATTATAATATTTAAAACCCATTGGCGAGTCCGGCGTAACGGTGCTATAAATATTTCCACGGAGGGTATAGCGGCCATTCAATTTTCCGACCGATAGTTAAACGAAAATGTCGACTATATTTTAAATTCTGAGTGTAGCAAAAAAGTTATTATAGTTTTACTGAGATATGTTTTGTTTTCGTATTAGTAAAAAATTCTGATTTTTCTATGTCCCTACATTAAAAAAATGTGTATTTAATTTCACGTGGTATTTTATTTGTTAAGTTTTCCTAAATTTCCAACATTTTCTTTTTAACCATTTCTTTACATGTACTTTGTCAGTTGTTTTTTTTTCCACTATTTTTATCAGAATAAATCTACTTCACTTAAAACATTTTTTAAAATTCTTAAAATGGTACCCCCTACGTCATATTATTTTTTTTCGGAAAACCCTTATTAGGTAAGCACAAATACTTAAAATTGTTGACCATTTAATTTATATAATTTCGTGTAATAAATGCATACCGTTTTGCTTTTATACGAATTGAAATGTTTAATATTCAATTGATCTTTTAAATCGTGACATAAATAAAAATGGATTTGATTAGATTTGAAAAATATATATTATTATTCATTAAACAACTGTTTGAATACTTAAAATAATAATTAGCATTTTAACGATTCTATATGCTGACTCAAGACGGCTTTCATGTCAAAATTTCAGATTTGCCTACAGAAATATTTTCTGTGTGGAATTTTACATCTTCTAGAATCACTCTAAACCGGCTCTGTCTATAAAAGAAGTAAAACTATTAACTTGGAGGGAAGGTGAACTTTTTTTCGGCACACACAATGTCTATGAACTTTTTGAGATAAAATTTTTGCAGATTTTTGTTTAGAGATTTAGCAACATTAACGTCCATGTCAAAACCACATAAAAATATTCATAATTTCTGAGTATAAAACAATCGTATTAATTATTACAAAAGTCAGACGGGAGAAATACTTCGAATCATGGGTAAGCCACAATTATAGATATTGAAAAGTTGTAAATATAAGATATAAATAGGATGATTAAATTAAAACATTAAGTACAACGATACATCGGTGCAAACAAAAAACAATTCTGAGTATGGTGCTCGTGGATCTGGTTTAATGAATTACTGTAGTTTTTCTTTTGTGTAACCAATAAAGAAACTCAAAAATAAACAGTAAAAAATCCAAAGTTTAAGTTTGATGTATACTCAAATTCCTACTTGTTGTTAGTCTGTGTTCAAAATGTCGGTTATTTTCGTGTGATTGATTTTGTCCGAAACCGCATGTTTTGTCATTTACCAGGTGATCCATTAAAGTGGGTACACTCATTATCTCGGGATTTGTTTTTAGAACATTTAAGAAACAAGCTGCTCTGGAATTTTATATTTATGTTTTTTTTTGTAACTCTTATTTTTGAGGGTAAAACCACTACCTACTTTTGATTTTCAAATAGCAACCTATATTAAAAATTCCATAAGTAGATGAAGTATTAGTTAAAATAAATTTTAGTGTTGACATTTTTGATTTCCGTCGATCCGGTGACAAGGTATTCCATTTTTCAATTTGGGTTGAAGGAGAGTAGTGTATTATCACTTGTGTGGCGGTACTGTGCGCGACATTATAATAATGCACTATTACTCTCGTCCAACCAAAACTTAAAAGTTTACCCACTTAAATGGATCACTCGGTATTATCAGTGTTTAAACATTTTTTTTTTTTAAATTAATGAAAACAGCATTATTTTCGACCGAATCAAAATGAAATACATTATAAATCACTTTATCGGGTTAATGTGTAAAAAAACGGAGACACAAGCTGAATCCCAAATAATTTTAGGCACATATTATCATCATTCGGTAAACTGAGTCTAAAAAACGTTAATTTGGTTGGTAAACAGAATTCGATAAATGTGTTCCACTATTACTCCGTTTATTACGGGATAATTTCAAGCTGAGATTCGGTTTGACCCCTTATTCCAAGGTCCCAAAAAAGGATTCTGCTTATAGATCCCAAATTGGACGAATCGACGATGAACGGTTTTTTCGGCGGCAGATAGAGTGTTAATTTAAAACTTTGGACAGAACGCGACAATTCGTAGTGGCTGTAAATTAGACTTAGTCGTGGTAGTATAGCAAATTGTCATCGTAATAATAGTATAACTAATAATAATAGTTGGTTATAAAGTGAAAATGAAATACGCAGAAACATAATAATAATATCACTCGTGTTATTAATGCTCGTATTTTATTAGTGGCCCGTAGCCAACGACGTCGGCGTGGTCGGCGAATCGCTACCGCACTGCAACCAGCAATCGTGTTTGAGAGAAACGTTTTTTTCTTAATTCGAATCTGTTCGGTAATTTTACATTTTTCGAAAATCGTAATTTACAGGTAGGTACCTACGCATAATATAGCCCGGTTTATTATTATTTATTTTTTCGCTTTTCGTTTCAATCCTAATCGCTAACTATACCACACCACTATGTGCCTATTTATATTTTCTACGCGTTTTGGGCCTCAGCCTGTTTTGCAAATAAAATAAAAATAAATAACGATGACACGCGCGTGGCGGCCGCCACCGGCCACCAAAGTGGACGACGGCCACGCGGTCTCGCGCTTGCGCACGTCGGTCTTGCTCCGACGGGTTTCACGTTTAGGAGGGACCACCGCCACCGACACCGTCAACAGTACGCACCGTTTCCTCGACCGTACCGCACGATTACGACTGCAGCGGTGGCGACTACAGCGGTGGCAACGACGAAGATAACATCGTCACTTTTCCGACCAGACTCGTTTTTACACGTTTTTCTGCGTTTTCCGGACCGTCTACCGGTAGATGGCCGGTTACTAATATCATTATCATCTTGGTAATATCAAGTTCTGCTACAAATTATCGCAAAACATATTATAATAATACTGATAGACCCAGCACTATACAGTATTCGCAATGGTAAGATAATATTATTACCATTATTACTATAATATTATATAATAATTATTGACTATACTATGCACGACGTGGTTGTCGTTATATGTATTCACTTTTTTCGTGTTATCGCAAAATCTGTTAAACGCAACGGCATAGCGATGAAACAGCTATGTTCGCGTATTGCGATTTACGGTTTCACATTTATTATTTTGTGTGGACGGTGTTGGAGTTGGTAATACTCGGCGCTCGATATTCCTTGTATTTTTCTTATTAACAGGGGAAAAAACGTCGGAAAATGAGAATATTTTTCTGGGTTGTGAAAATGGCGGTGGGTGTTGACTATAATTTTATAATCTTGTGATTTAGAAATTGATTTCGGTCATACCACTAAAAGTATATAGGTAGTATAATTTTAAAGATGAACGAAAATTATATACTTTTACCTCGGTATCTATATCGTATTATATGACATAGTACCTGGGTAATATCATTTAAAAGGTATTAATGCAATCAGGTTATGACGTGTTCATTTATTTGAATGAGTTGACGGTATACAAAATTATGCACTTAAAGTTCACTTCATTCTTTAGGTGAAAACGCATATAGTTTAATATGTATAAGCAATTTGTTGAAATCGGCATTTTAAATATTTTTTTTGTGCATGCACTTTTATATTCTCAAAATAAATCTCAGTTTAGTAATGTTTGTTAAATATATATTTCTTGACGCCCCTGAAAAACTGAATCCAGTCTTGACATCAAAATTAAAAATGGCATATAGCACCCTGTTATCATATCAAATTCTACATAAGTGTATAAATGGCACTAATTAGTACGCTACCAAAGCCTGTAGGTTTACAGATTTTGTAACTAGAGACTTTGATATAAAAAAAAAATAGTCTAAACGTGACATAAGTCTACAAAAAAAAACTCCAGTAATAATATGTTTTAAATAAACCGACGCTTCTCAGAATTGGAGATTTAATAATCACCGTTGTAACTACTTGCATAAATATCGAGCTGGACCACTTGACTGAGATTCCAAAATAGATGTATTTGAGGAAAACTTTGGTCATCTCAAAGAAAAAATGATATCCTGGATAATAAGAACGGGTGCGGCCACTGTTATAAAAAATTGAATGTATATATGTCAGAAACGATTAACCATTGTTAACAAAAAAACGATTCTGAGTAGTTCAGTTGATAATGTAGTTGCTTTTTTAACAATATATATATGTCATATTATGGTAAAATAATTACATAGGTAATATATATTTTCTTTTTAAAATATTTGTTCAATATTGTACCTATTTTCTCTATTTATCTACGGTTTTCCCGGATTACCCGTTTATTGAGAAAACTCCTGATAAAATCGAAAAATGACCTCCGTAAGTACCTTTCTTGTCAGATTTCCTTCCAGAAAAAGTGCTACACTTAAAAATCAGAGCAAAATTTCAGATAGAAAAGTTGTGCATATATATATATATAAAAAATAAACATCTTTGTAAAACCATAAGCTTCTTCGCACCACTTAGAATCTAAAAGTCTATTCCTCAAGATGCACCTACACGTTTAGGTTTTATTTCACTGTTGTACCTACTGTAAAGGTACGACTGTATAGGTACAGATACGACTATATACTGTATACAAAAAAGTCCTAAATAAAAAAAATAAACAAATATGCGAACCGTTACAAAGACTCTAAAACTACCATTTATTGTAGTATCTATATACATTTTTCAGATGAAATAAAATCTTAAGCCATTTTTTTTTTTTTTATGCATTTTTTCGACATAATTCAAACAAGTATTATTATTTAGTATTCATTATTTATTCAAGTATTATTACAATTATATTATAAAATCGTATACATATTAAAATACTCTAATTTTCTAATTGTTAAAAGCGTGAAGCAACATTTTTGTTAATATGTCTTTTAAATTTGTAACAAATATCAGAAGCATACAGAAGCTTGCGATCCCTCGCACACCCAATAAAATCGGAATACAATGCCGTTCAATTTGTTCATTATATTCATTATTACGGTTGATTATAAATTTATAATAACACGGTATAATTCACCCTCATTAGAATCACTCTCCTATTATACATAATTCTAAATTAACGCTCGTTAACACGTTGAATGATTATTACGTTATACAATAATAACTGTGATTGTATATCCACGAATGAATAACAGCTTTTAAACCCTTTGTTGTCATTATTTATTTAATTTGCAGTCGTTTATTGATAGTTAATCAAATATTGAAATGTTCTATTAGTGTTATCAAATAGGTACCCACATAAACATAATAAAACCTAAAAAAAAATAGCTGATACTGAGGACGGGTGTGGTCACTGTTGTAGGTGGATAGTTGGGAATGTAGGATACATAAAATTATTTTATTTATACCTGTAACCAATAATAAATCACAAGTACGAAAAACGATTAAGAGCAATGTTCGATTATACTGCATGTTTTAAAAGGCCTTAATATTTATAATTTTCGTCAAAATTTGATTTTAAAACTTCTAAAATATATAACATTACATCCAATTATTTTTTATTAACAATAAATATGACTTATAATGAACATCCTGTCAAATTTTTAAACTATTTAGTCAAACAATTTTATCCATAGAGTACCTACTAAATAAATATTACGTAAAACTCGGAAAATTAAAATGTTTATAAATAGCTCAAAAAAGTCTTAAACGTTTTGAAAACTTTACCACGTCAAGAAAAAGTAAATATAAGTTTCTGGCAAAATGTTAAGTCTATGAAATTGTTTAACCAAATAATATTTAAAAAAAAAAAGAAGTTTTCGAAATAATTGGGAAAAACCCAAAAGAAAAGTATAGGTAAAAAGGATTGATTAATATTAACGGTACCGTAGCCTTAGCTAGCCTAACCAAACCTTACCTAACCGTATTTTAATATATTCAGCTTATTTTTATACCAGATATTACTCGGAAAATGACAAGATATTGATTTTGTTCCTTATAATATATAGCCATTGATAGAGAAAGTCGTTTTTTGATATCTGAAGTATTTTTCACAATAATTAGAAAAAACCAAAAGATAAGAAATGTACGATATTTTTCAACTTTTTAACGCACGATTTCATTATCTTAAATTTCTATGGCTTATATTTTCTATCATAATTTTCGCTTCAATAGAAAAACATTACGAGATCTTTTTTGTTGAACTTTTAATCTAGTTGGCTACCAAGAAAGTTGTTTTTTGAATTTCTTTGTAGTTTTTTTAATAATTGAACGAAATTGAAAAATACCAAGAAAGAATGGAAAAATTTACAAAATTAATTCATTTATCATTTTAAATTTTGTACTAGGTAGTGTAGGTACATATATTTATCATAATTCATAATCACATATCAAAATTAATGTTTTTATATTTTTTGAAATAATATTGTTTTTCGTACTTTTTAATTTGTTTTTCTCGTTATAAAATATTATGATGCTAAAAAAGTGACTCCTTTTTTTATTTTTGCGCGTTATTTTACTGACAATAACACCAACAGAATTTTCGAGAATCCATTTAAAATATTTTGACCTGTTGGCATATGTAGAGCTTCGTTAACTTGTATGGTACTTGCCTATACTCTAAATCCATAACGGAAAGAAACGTGTTACTACTTGAAACGCATATCCCGGAAAGGGTTAAAACTAATATGTAACCACTAATCAAAATGTGTCGTAGACAGTATACGTTAGGTGTAATTTTTTTTTTTAACTTTTTGAAAAACGTTATAAAACAAATATTCGATTACTTTAATTATATAAAATCAAAAAGAGTGAAGAAAGATCATACAAGATGTAGCGATACCGCAATTTGTATCCATAATAATAATTGACCTACCTTTGTGTCAATGGTTTCAACAAAAATTGGCCTCAAAAAACGCTTGCACTCCCTATAAGAACTAAAATAGAGTCACTGGTAATACCTATTTTGTTTTATGACCATTTTATTTTTTATTCTAAACAAAATATTATCATCGTGGTAGTTATTTGAAACTTTATTTGGTTTTAACACGTACATAATTTTAATTTTTACATACGGGGATATTTAATAATATGTAATTCATAAAAAAAAAAACTTATAATATATTGTAATCTGATAAAGGTACGGATGAATAGGTTATGTTCATATATGGATGTTTCACCTCGTAATATAATTAAGTAAGTTTTTGTTATATAATCCACATACACTAGGAGAACAATTTAAAACGAAGAAATAAAAAAATAATTTTATTAAAAACCAACAATTAACCATTAAGTACGTATCTATGCAGTTTGTATCGTCGAAATTAATAAAATAGAATGTACTTTTAATCATTAACTTTCCGACGAAACAAAATTTTAGTTATAATCCACGTAAATTTTTATAACAATTATGACCGTGTTTTCATCAATTTAATTATGTAATATGCATAACAGATATATCTTTGGTCCCGGGAAAAGAGTTTAAGTAAATTTTTGAAATTTTTTCTATAATTTTGTATTTTTGTTTGGTATAATTTGTTTTATTTTATTTGTTTGTATAAATGTAATAAGTTTGTTTATATTCTAACATATAGTGCTGAAAATAAAAATATCTTTAGTCACTCTATAGTGACTTAAAAAAATTGGTTTATTATTTTTTTGTTATAATTCAGTTAAAAAAGAACATCCACGATAAACCATTGCTTATGCAAAAACGATTCTGAGCGGAGTTCAGTTGATAATGATGCTTTATCAAAAATATATATGCCATATTATAGTAAAATAATTAAATAGGCTCTCTATATTTTTTTTAATATTATTTGTTTATGTTGTATCAATTTCCCCGGTTTTCCTACATCTTTCCCGGTTTTCCCATGTTTTTCCCAGTTTTTCATATTTGCTGAGAAAACTCTGGAGAAAATCGAAAAACGACCTGTTTAAGATGCCTCTCTATACCAATTTCCTTTCAGAAAAGATGATACACGTAAAAATCAGAGCAAGTCTCCTCTGGTAGAAAAGCTGTTTACAAAAAAATAAATAAATAATAAAAACAAAATAAACATCTTTGTAAAACCATAAGCTTCTTCGCTCCATTCCGAATCTAAAATCCTTAGAGACTTGAAATTTTGACTGAAAATATATATTTCATTTATTATAAATGTGGTACAATTTTCAAAACATTTTTTCAGCTATTTAAAGGCATTTGAATTTTGAGTTTTTACATATATTTTACTTGTGACGTAAGTACTCTGTAGATAAAAATTGTTTAGCCTAACAAAATTACTTGATGATTTAACAGGAGGTGCATCTAAGTTATATAGTGGCTAACAAAAAAGATTTAAGTTTAATGCAGTATTTTTTTATACAAATTTTGATGAAAATCTTAAAATATACGAAAATAAATAACAACGAAGAGAATACGGTCTTTTAAAACAAGTAACCAAACTCCGTTCAGAATCGTTATTCGTTATCTTACCCTTCCAACTCCTCACTTACAACAGTGACCCACCCATCGTGTGAAGTATGTCCTCCTTTTTATCCATAGAGTTATAAAAATCCAAATAAAATATAATCATCGACTATAATAGGTATTACAGATTCCAGAAGTCGGTCAAAACACATTTATTTTTCCTCGCCCGTTATTTATATCTATATACTCATATTATTAGAACAGGTAAGTCAATTTACCATACGTATAAAATATATCATTATTACAATAACCTGAGCTGTTTTGTATCATCTATACTTACGAAAAACTACTGAAATTACCTATTATTAATATGTATACGTATAATATATATCTTTATAAAATTAAGATACTACGACGCAAAAAATAAATAGGAAATCATAATGATAATGGTACCAACCAATCTACATACATATATAATATTTATAGTTTAGTATAATTTGTAGACATATGCGAAACTAGATATTTTCATTAGGTCAGGACAAAATACATGAAAATCGTCCAACATAAAAAAAAATTTGTATTATTAACTCCATATTAATGTATAATTGTTAAAAAATATTAACAGGTACTCGTATTTAATAATAAATTTACAAGTTTTATATACAAATTGATAATAAAAGTCGATGGTTAAATGGCACCAAGTGTTTGAACTATTCAAGGATGTCAAAATCAAAATTATTATTCATTGTTTCGTAAGTTTCGTCGTAGAAATAGTTATTACAACGTAATTGCTGTTTTAATTTTTTACATTGTACGAAGATTTTTAACTTGATTAATTAAAGGATTTTGAAGTATTATACTTATTACGTTCAGTATTAATTAAAGAATATGATGTATTAATCGTATCTGCAAATATAATCCTCATATGTATATTTTATTACAAGGACAAAGAAACACACACCTGTTGGTATTAGGTCGGGCTAAGTAGTTTTGCTTATGTTTGTAGAATATTATTATTTTTAATAGTTTCTAAATGTTTCGTTTTAATATATATATATATATATTGCTCCGTAATCCGATATTCAATAATTCGTATAAAAGTATAAAATAATTACACAAAACATACAAAATGTGAATAATATTACGGTTTTCGATTTAAACTGCATACCAACGATTACTGCGGTAGTCTATAATTTAGACAGACACATTTGTTGATAAATTCTCGAGGCTTTCGCGAGTTTCCTTATCAATTATACCCCGAAGTATATGTCATTCTATTATACCTATATTATACAACTGATATATGTGGTCGTTGAATAGTTCCACTCGCCAGTCCTATTTAAATGTACAATTCGAGGCTTCCCGTTTAAATTATATCCAAATGGTGGATTATTCAATTAGTCTTAATCTTCAAGGTCCCCGTTGATGTGTAACATCAGTATGATTATGTACCTAGTCGCGGTACTGTACACATATTATTATTATAATATTGTGTAGGCTCGTGAATTATATTATTATTTACTTCTTCTCTTTCATCCTCACTGTTTCGGATCGGCCACACTTATCCTAATCTTCCACTTGACCCGATCCCCTACACCGTCCTAGCATATACCCGCCATCCACATATTATTCTCAATCACGTCGAACTACCTTTTTTTCGGTCTACCTTTCCTCCTCTTTCCTTCTACGTTTATTTTCATTACAGTTCTTAATACTTTTAATTCGTGAATTATATTACGTATTATAATATAAAATATACTAGTACTTCAGTTTTGTCACAGACTTTTGCTGGGTCACGTATCTATTAAGGTTGGTATAGGTTAGGTACTCACTGCATCCTTTCACTTGCTCCGCAATGTTGTCGCAGTTTTATAGAAAATTGCCCTCGATATTATCATCACTTATATATTAGAAAGTTTGCAAAGCGGTTCCCCGTATGCGTATTTTCTTCACTGCCCATTTCTGTATTACGGGTCAACTATGATACTTTAGTACTATAATGATACTGATTGCTTCCTAAAGGTTAAATGCTGTGCAGATTTTAAAGTCAATCTAGTCCGTTTTATATTTCTCTTTATGATATATTCTTGTTATTTATGGAGGAAGAACGATTTATTATTAGGATTAGATTGGATGTTAAATTATAAATTGTCGTTTCAAATGTTACAATATAGAACCTTTTATATTTATGTATGTATACATAATATATATGTTTTATATATAACAGTGGCGTGTACCCGTAGTGCAAAGTATGTTCATTCTTATTTCTGCAATATATATATAATATACATATATTTAAGAACCCGGAAGCTAAATGATTTTAATTTTTGATCTATAAATATTTTTTTGTGAAATATTTAGAGCGTATGTTTTATTCGAAACAGGAAAACTACATGCCACATGTTTGTTTGTACTCGGTACCTACAACTATTAATATTTTAAAAATAATTTTGCACACAAATTAATATGAATCGTTTTTCTAAGAAACATTTCCAGTCATTATTATTGTTACGCGATTTAAAGATTGTTTCGTGAGTTATAACAGTTTTTTAAACGCTTGTTGATTCGGTATAAAATATATCGTGCAGTGTGCCAACAACAACTATATGTCTGCACCTCCGAGTTTATTTGTCCACTCTATTCAATAAATGGTACCTATCTAATGATTACTTTTCTTTTAGTTCACGGAAGGGATTTTTTTATCTTGATAGTCAGCGCTTTATTATTTCTATATGTTCTATTTGTTTGTAAAAAAATGAAATTATGTAATGAAAACTCGCTGTTTGTTATAAATAGGACTCGGAAGTTATTGCACTAAAAAACATTACAATTGATTGCATTATTGCTGTAAAAAATCCCCAAATCGCAATTACTTTTTTTTTTAACCAAACTATTAAAAAATAATAATAATAATTTTAATGATTAGTTTTATTGGGTTATTTTCTTATTAACGTTTTGGAAAAATAATAACTCGTGCGTCGTAATGTCAAATGGTATTTTCACCACTACCTTAACAATCGACAAATCCTAATTGGTGACACCAATGGTGATAAGACACCATTGTTGGGGGCTTGTCAATAAATAAATGGTTCTTATTAATTTAAATTTCACAGTTAGTATTAATGTTGGTGTTGTTGCTCATAATTGCTGTGAGGTCATAGAGACAATACAGCGGTCGGTTTTGGTAAATCTTTAGCCGTTTAAAACGTTGCCCGGAGTACACTACGTGGAAGCGATTTACCTTTGCACTCCGGTTCTCACTGGAGAATACCGGGGGAAATATTAAATAGCTTGAGGATTGGATGGCGGAGAACCCTGATGGACAAAACATTGTTACCAATCCAACTTGAAACAACCAGGCTTCGATCTGCCTTAACAAATTTGGGTGACCCTAAATCACATTAGGTCCGGCCATGGAAGGTGTAACCACATTATGTTCAAATGAAAATTATATACTACTCCTTCATGTGACTGTGGTAATGATACGCAAACAATCTCCCATATAGAAACTGAATGCCCAATCCGTGCATTCAAAGGCACTCTAAATGATATCCATACAGCTAACGGGGATGTAGTTGATTGGATACGGAACCTGGACATTAATTTATAGCCTATATATTCAAATATATCACTTATATAATATCTATTATATTATATATAATTAGGAAAACCCAAAAGAAAATTATAGGTAAACAGTAAATATTTGTGGCACGTCTCGGCGTTATAGATTTAATTTTTTTTAATTTTTTCAACTTATGTTTTTTACCAGAAATATTGCTTCAATTGAAAATATATAATGGATCGATTTTGTTCCATTTTATATATATAGTCACACACATTAAAGTCGTTTATTGATATATAAATTTCATTATAATTAGACGAAAAAAGCTAAAAATATGAAAAATACAATTTTTTTTTTCATATTACGAAACAACAAATTTATGGCGTTACGATTTCATTATTATACATTTTTAGGCTTTCCATTTTCTACCAAAATTATTACTTCAATATAAAAAAACGAGAGATCTTTTTTGTTGAATTTTTATCTAGTTGGTAACCTATAAAATCGTTTTTTGATTTTTTTTGTAGTTTTTTAAATAATTGACCAAAACCAAAAAAAAACTGTGAAAAGAACGTGTAAATGTACGAAAATAATGCTTTTAATATTTTAAATTTTGTTTTTTTGTTGTGATTCATTAAAAATATTCGTATAGATTTGAAATTTGGACAGAAAAAGTATTTTCGCTTTTTCTGGACGTGGTATAATTTTCAACCCATTTTTGAGATATTTATAGATATTTTATAATTTTGCGAGTTTTTTTAGGTAATTTTTATTTGGTAGGTACTGTGTGAATAAAATTATTAGATAAAACTGAAATGCTTGAAAATTGTATAGTAGTTTCATTGTAAGTACTTAATGGTCAAATAAAAAAATTTAGTTTAATATAGTATTTTTTTTTTTTATAAGTTTTATGTTAAATCAAATTTTAACGAAAATCGTTAATACTCACTCAAACTTCACTTTGAACCGTTATCAATAGTTTATCGTTGGTTACAGGTGTAAATTAAATAACTGTATGCATCCCATCTTCCTAACTACCCACCTATAACAGTAGACACACTTAGTCCTATAGTAATAGCTTCTTTTTTTTCTAGTAATTACATGCCTTTTTTATATAATACGATATATACCAATAATATTGTATTATTATAGTATTCGGTTAGTAATTTGGTTTAACAAATTATATTTCAGCAATACATGGGATGAAATTCGACTCAATAGTAACGAAGCTCTGATGCTAACAGGTTTTTATTTTAAATGTTATATTTAATTATTATTAGCTGTGTAATACTCCATATTATTTTTTCTGGTATTCGCTCTAAACATTTATTTTAAATTAAATGTTCTCGAGAATTAATTTGCATTAATTACACAATAGTGAAATATATGTGTACGTAGTGCAGGCAAAATTAAATGTGTATTATTGAAATTGATAATGTGCGATCTGTGTGCATTATAATTTATGAAAAGAAAAATGTAGTTACTATAATTTTTCATTAAAAAGCAATCGGTAAAATAGAATTTTAATTACGTGTGTAACGACCGCGCATTCCGTTTGAACTCATGGATGTCTACTTACACAACTGTGAATAATAGGTAGTCATCCGGTTAAATTATTTAAGATAGAATTCTTTTTTTCTTAATAATAAACGGTTTACAACGAGTAAGTGTTACATAATATAATTACATTTTGATTTATTTTACGTCGTTGTATTTCGATTTCATCAATACCGGCTGTAGTTTGAAATTAAATCGGGTATATTACAAAAATTCATTTTGACGTAATATTATTTATGTCTTTTTAACATTATTTAAGAAATCTCCGTTTATAGTTTCACAAAAATTCGAGACAATGTTTAGTTAATTTCCACTGCGTGTCCACTTCTCCCCTTAAAAAAACTCCACGAGCAAAATTTATTTTTAGAATTCGAGTGGTTTATCAATCTATCGGTTATACCGTATATTATCAAAACCGCTGAATAAATCATTCGCTGGACCACATGTAGCACAGAAATTTATACTTTTAAAGGAAACTAGAAAGTTTGGTTAGATTAGATTAGGGAGAGAAGATAAATACGATACGATATCAATAATAATATTATTTATTTTCGGCTTGGTAATGGTTCCTACCACTATCATTATAATATAACGCCGAATGTTAAACCCAGAACCTTAATAATATTCCCTACTTAAAAAGAACCACAGGCTCAAATAGAATTCTCTGACTGGCTCATTGATTGCTTACAACGAATTAAATTTATAGATAACATAATTTAAATGATAAACAATAATACATATAATATTCTGCTTGTTAAATGCCATTCATTAGTGGTCCAAACCTGATACTGCTTGAAGAAAGTTTAAAGTGTATTAATAGCCTGAGTATATACTTTAACCCAATGGCGACTCGTGGGTTTTTTATTCTAGTTGTTATTATTTGATTTTCTAAGCGGTTTTCATAATAATTATTTAAAAACCGGGAAAAAACGTAGTGATAAATTGACAAATATTTACGGAGTAACGATTTTATATTTTTGTAACTTTTGTTTTCAAATACGTACAATATTAAACGAATATTATTAAAAGAAATATATAAAGCGTATGTATTTATTTTACGATATTATAACATGTATATTGTTGAAAAAACAATGCTATCAACTGAACTCTGTTCAGAATCATCTTTTCATTAGCAATAGTTAATCGTTGCTTACAGATATACATTAAATTACCTATAACAGTGGCTGCACCCGTCTCCAATACTCTAGAACAATATTTTTTATGGAGTTTTCATAATTTTTAGAAAAAACCAGAAAAAATCGTAAATGAAAACCGACAAATTTACGGTGCGCAGCGTGACAACTTTATTATTTTAAATTTATACGCTTTATATTTCCTTACAAAAATATTTTTTTAACAAGAGATCATTATTGTTGAATTTTTAATCTAGTTTCTGAGCAAAAAGTCGTTTATGAATTTCCGGGTTTTTTTTTTTTAATGATTGAGCAAAATCAAAAAAAAAAAGTATAAATAATTGAACAACATACGAAAATAAGATTTTTTTTATTTTTTATTTTTTTTATCCTGTGTACGAAAATTTTACCATAAATCTTGCTCAGATATATACGTGGGGCACCATTTCTGAAAGAGAATTTAATTTAGATGGTACTTTTAGGAGGTCATTTTTTGATTTTCTAAGCGGTTTTCATAATATCTGGGAAAAACCAGAATAAAACGTAAGAAAAACGGGAAATGTACGAAATTAATGCTTTTATTATTTTATCAATTTTGTTATTTGTTGTAATTCAGTTAAAAATATTCATAAACTTTAAATTATGACATAAAATGTATATTTATCTTTTCAAGACAAGGTAAAATTTTCAAAAAAATGTATGCCATTTTTGAGCTATTTATAGACATTTTAATTTTGCGAGTTTTATGGGGAATTTTTATTCGGTAGGTACTCTGTGGTAAAATTGATAGACTTGAACAGAAATGCTTAAAAATTTAACAGGAGATTCATTATATCTTACTATGTGGTAAAAAAAAAAATTAATTTAAGTTTAATTATTTATTTTTAAAAATGAATTTTGATACTATATTTCGACGAAAATTGTTTGAGTTTCCATTATCCTAGGATGTCTTTTTTTGTTAAAATCCATTAAAAAAAAATTAGTGAAGACTTTAAATTTGGACAGAAAATGTATGTATACTAAGTGATTTTATTTTATTATTTATTATTTTTTATTTTGCATATGACATCGACTAAAATAACCTAACACGAAGAGGAATCTTTGTGTCTCAGCGATAGGTTATTATATAACCTATCAAATTAATATGTCATCGCCTTGTTTCTATACTATTTATCAAAGTTTATTTTACTCATTCTAAATATAACACTTCTTTATTTGTCTTCCTTTCCGTCCATTTAATTTTCTCAATTTTCTCTTCCACCACATATCTAGCATCTCTAGCACAATAATGACTACGTCTAGCCTCTAACTGTAGACAGTCTGTATTATAATATTATATCTTGTACTCAATGTTATTACAATACGAATATTGTTTAATTGCACGTGTGTTGTATTATATTATATAAATAGGCGTTTAATTCCCATCACTATATACCTTGCTAGTATAGTCTTGGTAGACAATGGTTGTTTATGATGTGCTGTCGGAAGCTGTGTGTCAATGAACCATCTTCATTAACGACTTGTGCGGTAAACCGCACTACCAACACCACCGAAAACAGGATGACGGTCGCATGCTGGCAGTATACACCTATATTATATACAATAACAGTAGTTTCCTATAGTTGGAAAAAAATCGAAAACAATACAATGTATTGTCGTGAAAAATCTAGTTTTTTTAATGTATATATATATATATATATATATTATATATTATTTTACACACGTGATATTCAATATATCCTCGAAACCTTATACGTCGTGCACGTGTGTTTTGGAACCCGTCATCGTTTCGGTGGGGATATTTTATATAATATTTCGCACGCACAGATTGTGAGTGCATCATTTGAACCGCTCGACGCGACGTGTCGCTTTTGATCATTTTGTCATCGAATCTATTCGGGAATTAATTATTAATATTATTATTTATGTACTAATCTCAACGTTTTTAAAACTTCAGTTTATTAGTTTCTACATTTTCTAAACATAACATTATCGAACATTTACTTTTTGTATCAATTATATTTATTTTTTTCGTGTATGGTTTAACGTTTGCGACGGATTTTTGTTTAGAGATTTTCACTGAATGACATCGCGTAAAGACGTAAAGTTCGTTTTCAAGATCACACCCGCTACTGCTATCCCATAAATCGCTCAAACAAATTCAATGAAATACAAATTCAAGTAATAAAAAAAACCCGTTTGTGTTTGTATACATATGCCTATTATACGCATGCAATTTAATATTTATTGGCATCGTATTTTGTGCTACATAAAATTGATCTGTGAATATATTTTAGTATTCCGTTATTCCACCGTTATACGCTGCCTCGTGAATATGTCATAATAAAATTATTGTAAGTCAAATAATATTAATTTTACAGTTTGTTTTAATTTAGTATTTGAGTTCAATGACAAATAATTATATTAAAATAACGATTCAAATAGGTATATAAAAATTAACTGATAATAGTTAATCTTGTTTGTTTTAGATTCGAAGTGTACCGAAGGATCTATTTGATTTTACTATGATGTGTATTTTAGATTCTGAGCGTAGGGAGATATTGGTTTTAATAAGATGTTTATTTTTATTTATTTTTTAGTCTGTGGGCACGTTTTTTCCTAGTAATCATGCTCCGATTTTTACGTGTAGCAACTTTTCTGAAAGCTTAAGTTATTTGGATTCTACATAAGGTATCATTTTTTGATTATCGACTTTTAAATAAAAGCACTTAAAGGGGGAAAAACATAGGAAAACGTACAATTTCACGGTTTTATTATTTTATCAAAAGACGGACGAAGTTTTCTAGCAGAGAAAATGATTTAATCGAAAAATCACTAGACACCATTTTTATTACCATTATGATTTATTTTCATGCGGTATCATCATGAAAACTTTTGAACTGCTTTTGAGGTTTTTTATTTTTTAATTTTAATTTTTGGGAGTTTTTTTGGTGTAATTCGATTACAAATATACGTAAGTACTTTAAACTTAATAATAATACTTATATTGAACTCACATAAATGTGGGAAAATTGTCAAAATATTTGAGGCATTTTAAAACTTTTTATACAAATTTTGATAATTTTGTTGACATTTTATTAAAAATATTCGTATCAACTCGATGGACTTAATATTTGGAGAAAAAACTTATATTTACCTTTCCTAGACGTGATATAATTTTTAAACAATTTAAGCCATTTTTGAGGTATTTATAGACATTTTAATTTTGAGAGTTTTGTACGTAATATTTAATAGGTAGGTAATCTGTGGTAAAATTGTTAGACTTGAACAGAAATGTTTTAAAATTTAAAAAAAGATTCATTAAGAGTTTCAGTTTAAAGTGAAAAAAAATTGAGCTTAATGTAATTTTTTTTTTTATAAGGGAATATTAATATCAAATTTGTGATGATACAGCTCGTTTTTAGAGTTTCGAATTTGTTTTCATAATAATCGGGAAATAACCTAGGAAGATTAGAAAAAAAAAATTACGGCACTTTAAATTATGTATTACCGAACTGCGCTCAGAATCGTTTTTTGTCAGCAATGGTTTATCGTTGCTTACAAATATAAATGAAATAACCCTATGTGTTCTACCTTCTGAACTACAACAGTAGCCGCATTCATCTCCAGTATCAGCTCTTTTTTATTTTTTATTGATTACGATTTTTTTCAAATTACGAACCAACAATTGCATTATTTAAAATTTGTGTGGCATGTTTTCTACCATAAATATTACTTTAACAGAAAAACGACAAATTACCTTTTTGTTCCATTTTTAATTGAGTTCGTGAGTAGTTTTTTAATTTTTCTGGTAGATTTTGTAATAATTGATAAATCCTGAAAAATGACGAAAAATGAAAGCAGATAAATTTACGGAGCTAGGATCCTTTATTTTAAATTTGTACAACTTATGTTTCCACCAAAGATATTGTTCCAATAGCAAAATACAGATCTTTTTTGTTGATTTTTTAGTCTACATTTTGACCAAGAAGTAATTTTTGTTAGTTATATTTTAATCATTGAACAAAAACTGAAAAATACGTATAAAAGAATGGGCAAATGTAAGGAAACATTATCCTATCAATTTAAATTTTGTTTTTTTAATGTTTTTCAGTTGAAAAAAGACGAATATACTTCGTACGATGGGTGCAACTACTGTTATTAGTGAAAAGTTGGGAAGGTAGGATATACAGAGAAATTAATTTGTATCTTTAAGTAACAATAAACCATTGCTTACTAAAAACGATTCTGAGCAGATTTCAGTTGATAGTAATGTTTTGTCAACAATATATATGTCATACTGTGGTAAAATAATTAAATAGGTACTATATATTTTCTTTAAAAATGTTTGTTTAATATTATACAGATTTCCCGTTTTTCCATGTTTCCCCATGTTTTTTTCCGATTTTTCACATTGCTGGTAGAAAAAGTATTCACATTAAAAAAAAAAAAATAAATAAACATCTTTGTGAAATCAATACATTCTTCGCTATACTCAGAATCTAAAATCGTAGAAACTTGAATTTATGACAGAAAACTTGCTTTTTCTAGACATGGTAAAATTTAAGATTCTGAGTAAAGTGAATAATGTATTGGTTTTACTAAGTTGTTTTTTTTTATTTTTTATATTGTGAACAAAAATTCAACCAGAAATCTTGTTCTGATATGTACGTGTGGTACGATTTCTGAAAGGAAATATTGTCTAGTTGGTACTGTAGAAAAGGCATTTTTTTAATTTTCTAAGTGGTTATCATAATATCAGGAAAAATCCTTAATAAAATGTAAGAAAAACGAGAAAATTTAGGAAAATAATGATTTTATAATTCAGTTTGAAATATTCGTAATGATTTGAAATTTGGATAAAAAAAAACTTGTATTTGTCTTTTATAGATGTGGTAAAACTGTAAAAAAACTTGAGCTATTTATAGAAATTTTAATTTTATGAGTAATTTTTATTTGTTAGGTACTCTGTGGATAAAATTGTTAGACTAATCATAGATGCTTGAAAATTGAACAAGAGGTTAGGTTAGGTCGTACTTTGTGGTCAAAACAAAAAAAAAATTGAATTCAATGCAATAAATTTTTTTTATACGAAAATCGTTTTAGTAAAAATTATGTGAACAAATTTAGTGATTGGTCTATACAAATCGTTTCAATACATATTTATTTTACTATATTATGACATATATATTGTTGAAAAATCAAAACTATTAACCGAGCTCCGTTCAGATTCGTTTTTCGTTAGCAATGATTAATTTTTGCTAAAGGTATACATTGAATTCCCCTCTATAGCCTTCCCGGTTTATCGTCTACAACAGTAGCCCACATCGTGCGAAGTATGTCCGTCTTTTTTTGCGTTGTTTTTATATTTAGAAGGTACTGTGGATGATATTGTTAAACTTAACAGAAATATTTGAAAATTTGACAGGAAGTTTATTATATGTCGTACTTAGTAATTAAAAAAAAAAAAAAATTGAGTGTAATATGATTTTCTTTTTTTACGAGTAATAAAATTAAGTTTTGACGAAAATCGTAAATATTACAGCCTTTCAAAACATGTATACCGAATTTTACTCATAATCGTTTTTTATTAACAACAGTTTATCGTTAGTTACAGGTTTAAATTAAATAACTTTATGTATCCCACCTTCTAACTACCAACTTACAACGGTGGCTGTACCCAGCCTCAGTGTCAGCTCTATTTTTACTTGGGTTGAATATTTATACAATATTTGTTCATTCACTCTGAACAACATTTGCATCATAACGTGTTAAAACATAACGATCAAAATCTTATTTGCAAATTTTAATTCTACTATTTGATTAAAAATGTCTACTTAATAATATAGTTATTATTATAGCACATAAATTGCATGATGGTTTATAAAATATTATTGAAATATATATAAATGCAATGATGTGTTAACGTTTAAAATCATTTCAAAATTAGGCATTCAATTTTTATACTTACTAAAGGTAAAAAAATGTTGATATAGGTACTATTAACTTTTTTCTTACTTTTACTAAATTTATTCACTTTTAATTACGACGTATTTTAATTTAAAATTTAAAAAGAAAAAATGAGGAAAAATAATTTCCATACATTGTTTTCTAATACGAGTATTTTTGAAATATTATACGTACATAAATTATAAATATTTCTTAATGTTTTTATCATATAAATCTATGTACAGTACCTGTATAATATAGTAGTGAGTAATAAATAAATACAATTTTGTACATTTTATTTGTAATTATATTTTTAACTACCTAGTCAAAATAATAAATTCTGGTACCTATCTAATATATTATAAATATACTATATTATATTTATACAGTAATTTATTAATTGTAAATTTGTTATTATTATGCTACATAAAATAACATAATATGTTATCCACATCAAAACGAAATATGATAATTTTGCTTTCTAAAAAATTGACTTTAGTCGTATGGAATTACTCAGTTACATAGTTGAAATTAAATAGTGATAGTATGCAATAATTTTTCACAAGAGACTTACAAAAAAAAAAAATAAAAAACACGGGCATATTTCGCACGATGGGTGGGTTATGGGTAATGAATTACATTAATAAAACAAAATTAAAAATAATAAAAGCATCATTTTTGTTAATTTCCTTGTTTTTTCTTATTATTATGAAAACCACTAGGAAAATTAAATATGACCTCCCTAAAATACTAAAAGTTTCCTTTCATAAAATGTTGTATATTTGATACATCGGAGCAAGATTGTGATAGAAAAGTAGAGTAGGAAAAAAAAATTAAATTAAATTAACATCATTGTAAAACGTAATACCTACGTCACTTCGCACAGAATCTAAAATACATCAAAGGTTTATGCATATAAAGAAATAGTTTTTATTTTTACCCGGTTTCTTCTGACCTTATATATGAATGAATACTTAATCATATACCTACATATTTTTGACAGCCGGTTCTTTTGTGCAATATTTATGTATATTCAAGTTTAATCGGTTGTATCTCATATTAATAATAATATTATTATGTAATATGACAGTGGATGACTGATTTAATACACTTTTATGATTCAAAACTATTACTAAATTTCGAAAATGTCTAAAGTTAATTTTAAAAAACATTATTTACATTATATGTATTTTTTTTTTTTTTTTTTGGTCATATGTTACTTTTAAGTTATAAATTAAATACTATTATTATAGGTTATAATGCTTTCAAATTATGAGCACAGTTAATTTAATATTAATTTTACTATGATTTGCATTTTTTGTTTTTGTGTGCTTAAACAACTTTCTCACCAGAAATCTTGTTCCGATTTCCAAGTGTAACATCGTTTATGAAATAAAATTATATCTAGTTGGTGTAGTGAGAAGGCCCTTTTTTTATTTTCCTTTTAGTTTTTTTAATAATTAAGAAAATTGGGGAAAATGTAGGAAACAGGAAAATTTACGAAAATAACTGTTTCATTATTTTCAATTTTGTTTTGAATTCTGAGCGAGGAGTGTATTGGTTTTACAATGATGTTTTTTTTATTATTATTTTACGGATGTCATTTTTTGATTTTTCAAGCTAACCTACCTAACTTAAAGTTTTGTTTTTTTGTTGTAATTCTGTTAAAAATGTTCATAAAAACTTGAAACTTGGACAGAAACCTTATACTTGTTTTTTATAGACATAGTAAAGTTATATTTATATATCATGTTATATTGATCTTTGGTAGGAATAGGCAAATATTTAAAGTCATTCTGGCAATTTGTGAGTTATTTATAACCTTATATTAAAATTTTACATTTTCGAGTATTTTTAGTTTTATTTTGGTTTTATGTGAATATAATAGTTTTGATGGAAAATGAGTGTAATATAATAATTTTTTATGAGATTTATTACCTAAGTTCAAATTTTGACAAAGATATTAAACATCACGACATTTCAAAACATGCTTAACCGGACTTCGCTCAAAATCATATTTTGTTTGGAATGATATATTATTGTAAAGGTACAGATATAAATTAACTATAATTCTATGTATCCTACCTTCCGAAATTTCCACCAGCTGCAGTGGCATAACTATTCGTTCTTTTTGTTGATGTTTATTTATCTATATTTATTGTAATAAATATAACTACGATACCTTATCAAGTTATAAATTATTTTCTTTGACTTATTGCTCATCCCCTGATAATAACAAAATTCATAATCGCTTATACTGCAACACTATATAGATTATCAAATTTGTGTTATTGTTTTAAGTGTTACATATTGGAACCATCACGAGATAAGATTTTAACTACATATAACTTATATGGCATATTGCATATTTCATAAAATTCAATGCACTATAAACTAAAGAGTGGAATGAATTGCATGCGCTTCGAGCAATACACCATTATAATAAACGGAAAACATACTATACGGTTTGATAGTTATTAATTATTGATGTAAATTTTTTAATTGAAATGATATATTATTTTCATTTATGACCAGCAATCACCTCACAGACGTATTTACTACTGTTTTATAAAAACCCAGTGTTTTCCAACCTTTAAATTTGAATTATTATTTTATCCAAAAAAGGCAAGAAAAAGCCTTAGAAACAATAGATATTATCCACGACCTCCCGGAGTACACTCTGTCGCATTGTCGTAGTATAATAATATTGTATATTGTGACTGATTTGCCTGTAAGACAAAATAATGACGGGATTACAGTTATATAACAGTACATTGTATACATTAAATAAACGAGTGTAAAAACTATAGTGTAAAATAAAAACGGGTTTGTTAAACAAACTGATCAAAACCGTTTTTTAGGGTCCGTCACGCTTTTTGGCGCGGTAGGAAACCATGACCGCTACCACGTGGAATCTGCAATCGGGAACTGTATATATTATGCAAATTTTATATAAAGGGGTGATTAGAGTCAGGTCGTGGTATAATATTATATGGTACTTATTCGTAGGTGGGTATTGTACTTAATTTCAGAAAGAAAAAAAAACAATTCACTTACTTCGAAATATATCAGCTAAGACGGTGGTATAAAGTGTTAGTTTATCAAAAATAATAACGTCCTAATCGTATTTAAATTAGTTTAACACTATTAATAAAATCAGGTCCATATAAATACAGTAAGGCAGTAGTTCAGTATTAGGGGATGTATAGGGCAGATATTATAACCACAAGTCTTTCCTAACGGGTCCACAACATTTTCATAAAAGAAGCTCGATCGTTTTTAAACTGCTGCATTCGGTGTAATATGATTACGGTACAATACAAAATGCGGTAGGTGATGAATATTTGCTTTTTAAGTTTCCCCCTCCACCAAATATTTTCCCGAAAAATTATAATTAAACTCATATAGCAGTACTTATAATGTAGAACAATAAAAGAGCTGATATGAGGATGGGAACGGTCACTGTTGTAGGTGAAAAGTTGAGAAGGTAGGATACATAAGGTTATTTATTACAACCGTTGCTTGACGAAAGACGATTCCGAGTGCAGTTCGGTAATACATAATTTGAAGTACCGTCATTTTTTTTGCGATTTTTGTTTAAATTTAAGTTCAAAACGCTTATTAAAAAAAAATCAACCAAAATATGGTCTCTTGTCGTTTTTCAGTTAGAGCCATATTTGTGCTAGAAAACATGGTAGGTAAGTACCATTAAAATAACCTTATTTAAAATAACAAAATCGTGAAAAAATCGTATTTATTTCCCGTTTAATAGTTTTTATTTTAAACACCATGTCAAAAATCAAAAAATGACCTATGTATTTATCAAGTAGATAAAATTGACTTTCAGAAAAGATGCTACACTTATACATCGAAGCAAGTTTACTAGAAAAAATGTCCACAGACTAGAACAAAGAACAAAGAAAAAAGATTTTAATTTTAAAAGCTTTTAAAATTAAAATTACAAAAATACAATAAATTATATGTTTATTTATTGATTTTTTTTTCTATGGACAACTTTTCTACCAGAAGACTTACTCCTATTTTTACGTGTAGAATCTTTTCTGAAATGAAATCAGTGCGAGGAGGTACTTTAGGGAGGTAAATTTTTGATTTTCCTAAAGGAAAATGTTTTCATAAACAACTTTTTGAAAAGTGAAACCATGAGTCGTGGTAGGTTTTCGGGAAAAAATTTGAATTGCGGTCCTAAAAAGATTGAGAACCACTGTACTGATATATTATTTTTTCTTTGTGGACAACTTTTCTACCAACAATTTCGCTCCAACTTATAATGATAGCAATAAGTCTAAAAGAAAATTTTACTGGGGAGGTACTTGAAAGGGATTGTTTTGCAACTTACTCTAGTGTTTTCAAAAACAAATGTGTAAATTGGGAAAAAACATGGGAATATCGAAAAAAATGTACAAAATCGGTACAAAATTAAACAAACATTATTAAAGATAATATATGATGCCTATATTTAATTATTTTACTTCAATATTACATACATTTTGTTGACAAAGCATTTTTATCAACTAAAATCCGCTCAGAGTCGTTTGTCGTTAGCAATGATTAATCGTTACTAACAGATATATATTAAATTACCTATGACAGTGGCTGCACCCATCCTCGTTTTTATCCTAGGATATCTTTTACTTGTTTTAAACTGTAAAAATTCGCAAAAAAAAAAGGTAAAATAATGGGGACAGATGCAGCCACTGGTGTAGGTGGGAAGTTGGGAAGGTAGAATACAGACAGATACAGAAACAAACCATTGCTAACGAAAAAACAATTCTGAGTGGAGTTCAGTTAATAGTGATGCTTTGTCAATAATATATATATTCCATATTATAGTAAAATAATTAATTAGGCTCTATATACTTTCTTTATTAATATTTGTTTAATGTTGTTCTGATTTCCCCGGTTTTCCTAAGTTTTTCCGATTTTTCTATGATTTTTCCCAGTTTTTCACATTTGCTGTGAAAACTCCGGAGAAAACCAAAAAATAATCTTTTTAAAATATCTCCCCAGTAAAATTTCCTTTCAGAAAAATTGCTATCATTAAAATTTAGAGCAAAATTGCTGGTAAAAAAGTTGTCCACAGAAAAAAGAATTTGCAATATTATACAAATATATTTCGTACATTTTCCCGTTTTTTTTAGGTTTTTCGAATCTGATGAGAAAACTCTTAAGACAATAGAAAAAAAACCTCTTTTAGACACCGCTTACACCGATTTCTTTTCAGAAAAGTTCCTACACGTAAAAATCAGAGCAAGAATGCTGGTAGAAAAGTTTTTCCACAGAAAAAAAAATAAATATCTTTGTAAAACTATAAGCTTCTTCGCTCCATTCAGAATCTAAAAGGCATTTTCAAATTTCATACTAGGACTCATTAACCTTTTTAAAACTACACTCTTGGATTTTTATCATCCCACACCAACGTGACAAGTGGATACCTAAAAGTCCTGAAATAACAAAAACAAATACGAGTTGGATAATATACACATCAAATCGAAATTCTTTTATAATACATGGGGGGAAAAATCTGGTTTGCAATATAATACAATACACTATGATATGTATGTGTAATGTGTATATTTGTATATGGTGTATATTGTTTGGTGAAGAAATGGTATATTTTTGAAAATATTATTAAACGATTCGTTATACTCTAAATCTCCGTAGTTAATCGCGATGGGTTTTGCTGTATAGTAGCTGTATAATTTCATTGTAGTATTTTTTTACAAAAAATTCTTCGCCTATATTTTTCATTGGTGATTTACGATTATTTACGGTCATCTTCGTGGTGATATTGTTATTATTTCGGTAAAATGGTGTTTTCATTTTTGTTAGTGAAAATAACAATAATAACATTTTACCTACAGCCTATAATCCTATATAATATATAATATCTGTAGGTTTCTCGAGACAACTACACTTGACTTAATTGATCGCCGTCTCCATCACTTTGTAGTGTAGTTACACTGAAAAGTATAGTTATACATTGTAGCTGATATAGGGAATACGCTCGTTTGTCAGTAGTCCTAAAGTCGTAACAAAACGAACCGATCAATTTAGACGAGACGCTTTTTTTATACCGTTAAAACACTTATAAACACCAGTCTATTATTGTTTTTCCCGGGCCGAAAATAGAAACGGCTACTTAAATAATATATTAGAACGAAGACATTAACGGCCGGGCTAACATACAAATTTCTGTCGTCGGAATTATTATGCTTACCTACTTACACACGCATCACAAACATCATAATAATAATTAATAATATGCATTAATATAAGTACGATGCAGTAAATAATTACGCATTTTACACGTATTATAATATATACTTACACGAAGTTTATACAAAATGTCTTTGTATATAATTTTACATCGATGTACTATACCTATAGTGGAAAAAAAACCAAAATACCAATTTTCTTGACTAAAACACTAAGCATTCATCTTGTTTTTTTTGCATGTCGTCTATCGTGCCTAATGACTAGGACTGTGAATTAAATGCAGCAAAAAACCTTAAAAGTGCACAAAACATGTACAAAAAATTCAATAATATATGCATTTAAAGTTTCAAAAAATTCAATATAAAGTGCACATAAAATGGTTTTTAATTTAATTTTTACATTTATTTTGATATTTATTACTGATATTAGTATATTATATACATACAAATTTATTTATTTTTTTTTTTTTATTAAATAAATAAATACAAAAATGTTGATCGAATTTGAATGTTAAATAAGTTAATTTTTATAATATTACCTTATTTTAACGAATCCATTATCTTTACCTAACCCGTATACAGTTTGTGTAAAATATTATTTTATAAAATATAAATTTGACGTATATACATCCTGTTTAAAAAAAATATATATGTGTAAAGGTATTAATTGACGGAATTTGATTAAAAATACCGAAAAATGAACTGAAAAAGGAAAGTATGACTCAAAAGTCTAAAAATGACCATAAAAATTTAAAACGTCAAAAAATGCAAAATAAAAGTTTCATAAATGAATTTATTGTGACATAATTCAAATTGTGTACTTAGAAAACTACGATTCACAATCAGCTAAAAAAAATGCACTTTCCTACAAATTCACAGCCCTACTAATGATCTAACCTGACTCAACGTATCCTATACACGAGATTTTTTTCCTACACGCATGTCCTCTCACAAAATAAAGGTAATTACGTTTTATTTTTTTTTCTAAATACAGCGTTCATGAGGTGGATGACCCGATGGACGGCGACACGGCATACACGTCGAGGAGGAAGGCCCTCAGGACGTCCTGGACTCTGTTGATATCATCTTTCGCATTGATTGTGCTTCTGTGTGCACTATGTCTGTTCTTCTTCTTTCATCCGAGAACGTGCAGTCAGCAGATGGCCGGTATCAGCAGTGGCACATTCGGTTCCACAGAGACCATACTGGACGAAATCCGCGGGGTTGACTATGGAAGACTAGAAAATTTCGGCACGACTGACGTCCGGTTGCCGGCCAATGTTATTCCGGAATCGTATGATCTGAAGATAGTGCCGTTTCTGTGGGCCAAGCCCGGTAATTCCACGTTTGACGGCCAAGTGGATATCGTGGTCAACGTGACAGCTCCTGTGGATGGCATAACGCTACACGCCGCCGACCTTAACATAACAGAATGCTTGGTCAGCAGGTCAGTGACATGATAATTTCATCTGTAATCCCACAAGTATAAAATGTTAAATTTATTTATTGTCCTTATATTCATATCTTATAGGTTTCCGAGAATGGTACCAAACGAACACGTGATGGCTGAAAGTACTTATATAACCGTACAAGAAATACAAAAAGATCTTTATAAACAGTTCTTTATCATCAAGTTCCAAGATGTACAGCCAGCTGATTATCAGTATAATATAAGTTTGAAATACACTGGAAGACTTCAAGACAACATGGAAGGGTTTTACAAAAGCTCTTACACCATAGGAAATATGACTAGGTATTATTGATGCAACATATATATGTATATACCTTTTATATTATTTAATATTGCGTACCTATTTTAGATGGATTGCTGCGACACAGTTTCAGCCAACGGACGCAAGAAAAGCATTTCCATGTTTTGATGAACCCGCTTTGAAAGCTAAATTTACCGTATCCATCGCTAGACCCGCCCACATGAGTTCCATATCCAATACCGGTCTGAAGACCGAACCTAATTCCATCAATAATATGCTTAAACTGTAAATCGATAGTTAATAAATCTTGAATAATGTTAATTTTGAACCACACCTACTTAAATAAATGTGTTACAGGTCGGGGCCTTTATTGTCGTACAAATGGGACACATTCAAAGAAACTGTACCGATGTCTACATATTTAGTGGCGTTCATTATTTCTGATTTTGAATATTTATCCTCAGAGACTTTTAGAGTATGGGCAAGAAGTGATGTGCTATCGCACACTCAATATGCCAGAGATATCGGTCCTAACATACTTCAGTTTTACGAAGAATTTTTTTCCATACCTTACCCGTTAGAAAAAACTGACCTCGTCGCACTCCCAGATTTTGCAGCCGGAGCCATGGAAAATTGGGGTCTAGTTACATTTAGGTAAGTGTGTTTCGTATTTAAAACGACTTATTGTTTGTAACCTAAATTAAACGTAAACATATTGATTGACATAAATAAATAAAATAATTATAATTGATTTTTAGGGAAATAGCTATGTTATATAATGAAGGTGTTTCTCCCAATTCTCAGAAAGAACGAGTGGCAACGGTAATTGCCCACGAACTGGCACATCAATGGTTTGGTAATTTAGTTACACCGGACTGGTGGTCAGATCTTTGGTTAAACGAAGGATTTGCGACTTATATCGAATATGTGGGGGTAGATCATGTGAGTGTGCGGGGTACCACGGTCAATTTTTTTTTATGTTTATGAAATAATTGTTTATACTCGATTATAGGTCGAACCAAAATGGAAAATGGAGGAACAATTTATTTACAGCGGTATACAAAGCGTGTTTTTAATGGATTCGTTGAAATCTACACATCCGATATCGGCACGCGTGTCGAGGCCGGAGGAAATCAACGAATTATTCGATCGTATTTCCTACGATAAAGGTGACTTGACACGTTTTTTTTTTTTTTTTTGTCATTCGTGTGACTATAATATTATTATATTTAACCTTTATATTTTTATTCAGGGGCATCTGTAATTAGAATGATGGATCATTTTCTCACGCGCCAGGTGTTTCGAAAAGGCTTAACCAAATATTTGAACTCAAAGTGAGATATTTATATAAATTATATACTCGTACATATTATTTATGTACTTATAAATAAACAATTAACATGAATAATAAATTAAATAATAAAACAAGTGTCTTTATTTGTATTTTACTAATTTATTCATAATATATTCTTATTTGGTCAGAGCTTACAAGAACGCATGCCAAAATGATTTGTGGGACGCTTTGACCGAACAGGCCCAAAAGGACCACGTAATGGATAATACATTGACTGTAAAAGACGTTATGGACACTTGGATATTACAATCAGGATTTCCAGTTGTAAACGTAACCCGTAATTACGAAGACGACACGCTTATCATTTCGCAGGTAGGTGCCTATAGTTCAATCGTCAAAATATCCTTTGTTTAATTTCATAGTTTTGAAATTATTTAAGTTTAGTATAGGTATATATATATATATATACGAAGTGCTCGAATTGGGACAAATTAAGTAGAGGAGCTCAATCCAATGATTTAAAAACTGCGTTCCAAGTGCACAATCACTTAACACAGACTCGTGGGATGGGACTTCGCCCCCTACACAAGCCCCCCCCCCCCGTTCTACCTTACCAGCATTTTGAATACCATTTTTAAGCAACAAATATTAAAATTCCAAATCTATTTTGATAACAATACCTACATCCTGCATGTTGCAGTAGAAAATACAAATTATATGAATATTGTACCCTGATGATAATATGTTAGCATTTTTTTTTTTTTATCGCTTTTCTGCGGATGATGGATGTAACCACCATTGAGTAATTACTCTATGATAACCACATGGTCAAAAGTTTAGTTAAATAAATTTAACTATGCGGTATCGTGTAATAAAATATCGATATACCTACCATATGGTAAAAAAAATATAGTATCATAGAAAAGATGATAATATCAAACTAATATCGAAAATAATTTTCAAATAAAAAATAGTAAAATTCATTATATAATTGACAACAATTGAAATCCACATTTTAATAAAAAGTATTTCGGATATAAGTTTGTGCCGTCGCCCTATTCCAGTAGAAAAATATAGTTGGAGTACGCAAAAAAAATAAAAAAATAGTAGAGGTGCTCCATCCCCTTGCACTCCCTACTCCAATTCAAGCACTGCATATACGATTAGAAGATGTCCTGTTTAAAATAATATTAATTATAATATTAACTGTTTACGGCCTGTATTCCATTATTTGTTTCCCCCGGATGTCTATTTTATTATTATTGAGGTCGTGTCTTCCCACATCACTGAATCCTATTTTTCCGACGGCTACATGTAAACACATACAAAAATGATCTTTTTACCTGAATTTAAAACATAGTGTAAATTTCTACATAGACCCTTATTAACCGGCCAAAAATAGATTGTGTTACCCGTACACAGAGCTTTATACATTTTTAAATTTGGGATAGGTAATGCTTATTGCATATTACAACACTTCTTACAAACTACGAATACGTACTTTTAGTTTATATGTATTGTAAGTATGTTTTTATTCTTTTGGAGATAGTATAATATTAAATTCACCGGGATCCATCAAATGTACATACAAAATAAATTTCGTAAATAACGTATACGTTATTAGTATTTAGTATTTATTTATTATTTTCAAACAATCATTGGTTCAATATAGTTACAAAAATTTACATATGTAATCACTCACCTCCTTTAAGCAATGCTTGTGATGGAGATGGAGAGTGTTTAAAAATAAACATACAAGTTAAAACTTAAGACTTACGAAATAATATAAAAATAATTTGTTTTCTAGAACATTTAAGAAACAAACTGCTTTACAATATTATATTTATATTATTTTTTGTCACCCCTATATTTGGGGATAAAAACATCACTTACTTTTGATTTTCATATGACATATATATTATTGACAAAGCATCACTATCAACAGAACTCCGTTCAGAATCGTTTTTCGTAAACAATGGTTTATTGTTGCTTAGAGGTATACATTAAATTATATATAACAGTAACTATTATCTTAGGACGTCATTTTACTGTTAAGAATTAAATCATTTTACAAGTACAGTATAATAATTTACCTAATAATTTTGTAAAGCTACAAAAGTTATTATACCGATTAATATTAATATTTAGAGACTTTCATAACATTTTATCATTGTTATTCAAAATGGCCTCCATTATTATGGTTACATTTTTGGTATCAATAATCTATGTATAATTGAATCTATTATATTTAATTAGTGTGTTCGTCTCTTAAATCATCGTATATGATCTAAGGTTGATCTTAATTATATTGCATCAGATACTATGGTAAAGTCTACAGTTATTGGTACCTAAAGAAAAAATTGGATTCTAAAACATTTTATTGATAATTTAACAGTGATTGATATCTTGGTGACCCCATTGATTATAATCGAAATATTTTAATCTGTAATTAGAATTTAAATCCGTTTAATATATTTATTTTTTTAAGATTCTAAGTGTTGCGAAAAAGTTTTTTTTTATGTGAACACTGTTTCTTAAAGAAAGCAAACTCCAATTATCAATATAGCACCTTTTCTAAAAGAAAATATTCTCTGAATAGTACTTTAAAGTGGTAATTTTTTAAAATGCTCATTAATATTCGAGATAATGGGGAAAACCTGTGTCTTTAGGTTAAACAAGATTGAAAGATTAAAAACAAGGTTGTCATTGACAACGGTTTTGATTTATTTTTGTTATTGTTAAGTATTACAATTTTTTTTTCTGTGCACTACTTTTCTACCAGTAATTTTGCTCCAACTTATAATGATAGCAATGTTTCTGAAAGGAAATTTAACTAATAAGGTACTTTAAGAAGATTATTTTTCAATTTCCCTAAGAGTTTTCTCAGAAAATATGAAAACCGGTATAAAACATAGGAAAACCAGGAAAAACGTAGGAAAACTGGGAAAATCGGTACATTATTAAACAAATATTATTAAAGAAAATATAAAAATAATATATAAAGCTTATTTAATTATTTTACTACAAAATGACATATATTGTTGAAAAAGCATCATTATCAACTGAACTTCGCTCAGAATCGTTTTTTCGTAAGCAAGGGTTTATCGTTGTTTACGGGTATATATTAAATTATCTATAACAGTTGCCGCAACCATCACTATTATTATAGGACGTCGTTTTTAACATATTTTTTTCATATTATTTAACATTTTTTTATAATATTATGTTGTATTATTTTTCAGAGTCGTTTTGTTCTACATGATGCTAAAACTGGGGATAAAAATGACCAACCGAAAAACCTATGGTGGATACCGCTCACGTATACTACGGCGACTAAGTTGGAATTTTCGGTGACAAGACCAAACCTTTGGTTTAAACCGGAAGAAATGATGATGATGACTGAAACAGGAATACCTGCTGACCATTGGGTGTTATTCAATATCAACGAGACGGGATTTTATAGGGTCAATTATGATCCGAAAAATTGGAAAATGCTAATCGAATATTTGAACGACCCGGAAATGTACTCTAAGATCGGTCAGTGGATTTTGTATATTTTGATTTTTTCTCGAGTACAAACGTAATGACACATTTTTATTAAACCCTGAATAGGTACAATTAACCGAGCTCAGTTGATTGACGATGCAATGTCTTTATCGAGGGCAGGATATTTGAGCTACCAAACTTCTCTCGATTTAACTAAATACCTTTATCACGAGACCGAGTACGTGCCTTGGAAATCGGCCTACAGGTCATTTACCTATTTACACCAAATGCTTATCAAAACTGCCATTTATGACAAACTAAAGGTAAAATGATTTTGTTTTTATGTTACTAAAATTATGATTATTATTTACGTTGATTTAAAAAAAAAATGTTTATTTTTCTGCTTCAAATTGTTTACAGTCGTACGTTTTGCATTTGATAGCCCCGATGTATAAAATAACCGGCTTTGCTGACAATTCAAAAGATGAACAATTGGTTATTTACAAAAGATTCAATCTGTTATCTTGTGCTTGTGAACTAGGACATTCCGACTGCGTTCGAAACGCGGTGGTTCAATTTCAAAATTGGCGATCGAATCCTCAACCGGAAAAAAATAACCCGTAAATAATTGTTTTTATTTTTCTCCCCATATTAGCTATAGACATAATATACTAAAATAAAATACCTATTCATTTATTTATTAGTTTATGTGTACGTGTATTGATATAAATATTCAGATGGTTTTTTTTTGTAGGATTTCGCCGAACCTTAAGGCAATTATATACTGTACTGCCATTAGTTACGGGAGTGAAGAAGAATGGGATTTCGCGTGGAAAATGTACAAAATGACCACGGTTGCTTCCGAAAAAGATTTATTGCTGGACGCTTTGGGGTGTAGCAGAGAAACGTGGATTTTGGCCAGGTAATTCACTATACAAGTATATAGGCATCACTCAACCGGTATACGCTCGCTGCGTACAAAATTAGATACTATAAATTGTAAAACCTCTCGCTCGTTGTAAACTGTCCAACTGTCCATAATGCATTTTCCAAGTGTAAATAAGAGTGATTCTTTTATCGTTGAACATTCATTATTACGCAAAATATGTTACAAATTATTTCCTATATAAAAGATAGCGCTTATTATTGTGAGTTATTTTTCTTTCCGAGAAAAAATAATCCAAGACTACTGTTAATTAGCTAACGGATTTCTACGGTCCATGATAATTCGGTATGAATATTTTTAAACTCCGAAAACATACCGTCCGCAACAATATGATTTATGCGTTCATTTTTTCTGGATTTCTATTGTCCGGGACTATACGATCTACGTATACATTTTCCAGATTAATACGGTTCGTGAGATTACTTTCCTTAATTTTACGGCTTCCCCTACCCCCACTTTAATTCAGCTCTAAAGGTAATACACACCATGATTTCATAATGCATATACAATAAATACTTGTGATTTAGTGATATGGGGCCACTTTTAAATTGGATTAAAAGTGAATTTGTATGATTTTGAGTTGATCAATTTTCATTTTCACTTTTTTTTCGTCTAATATTTCGTTAAAATTACTTTTTAAATATTAGGCGTCTTTATGTTAAAAATCACGTAAACTTTTGGCAATAGTACAATAGTCGTATTCTGAATACTTAAATCACTATAATATCATAGGTTCCTCAGTTACGCGTTGCAAAATGATTCATCGATAAGAAATCAAGACATTAGTAAAGTATTCTATGCTTTGACTAATAAAGTAGCCGGTCAAGAAGTGGCGTGGAATTATGTCCGAGATAATTGGCGTGATCTGAAATCAACGTAAGTCTCAAATATCTAGCTAAACAATAATAAACAGGTACCTATATAATATTATATTAACTGTAATTATTATTATATGATTTTAGTTTTGCATCGAGTTTTTCGACAATGAGCGAAATCATAAAATCGGCAACGTACCATTTTAATACTAAAAACGATCTGATTCAAGTACGTATACCCTTACGTAGATCCCTATCGCAGTATTACCGACAAGGAAAATTAACAATTTATTAATATTTAAAATGTCGAATAAATCTCCAAGACATGTAAACTTACTTGTGATGATAATTTACTCATTTTCTAATAAAAAAAAAAAAAATGTGTTTTTTAGTTATGGCAGTTTTACAAAGACGAACAAGATTATTTAGGTTCAGCCCGAAGGAGTGTATTGCAATCAATAGAAAACGCACAGGCAAATGTTAATTGGATGGAAAGGAATTACAAAACAATTAGCAGTTGGTTGCGAAATATCACCTCATCCCGATATACCAACGAAGTGAATTAGATTAAAAATACACATAATGGTTTTTTTTTTTTTTTTATAAATTGTGTAGAATGTAAATATTATATTATTATAAGTAGAATACTAACGACTATGAGCTATACCTAATATTAATTTTTGACACTTTATCATGTCGTTTTCGCTATAAATGTTGTCTTCTAAAGACTGTTTTTATTATTTTTTAAACTGCTATTAATTATGACTTTGTGTTTATATATCTTTATATTACCTATTTTATATTTTTTTTCACCTTATACTTCTCCCCATCCCTCCTTTTTTATGGCGATACAAGCTATTTTTAATTCTAACAGTATTTTTATAAATTTTATTTTAAGTTAATTGCAATATTTACGTTGTACCTAAAAATATATATTTAATAATAATCACGTATCAAGACTATATAATATTATAATATACTAAGATAATAATATTATATTATATTAACTATACAGTTATTCAAATTGTGTCAATATTCAAGACAATATTATAAAACGATTTTACTTTATGTACCTACCTACCTTAATACAACAATTTATGTAATATCTGAACATTTTAGTTCCGGATATATTTTTAACTTCACAGAATTATTAATGTTCTTCTAGCCTATATTTATTGTATTTATAATATTTATAATGTACAGTTAGTATTCACACATAATGAAACACTGTTAATTATACTTAAATATTATGATTATGTTTGTATTAAGTTCAGTTAATTAAATCCCAGTAAACATTTCGATAAAACTATATTTACTATACATTGTATACTTTTATGAGATACAATCCCGGGTTTCCGGATCCCAGTCAATTTTCAGAATAGTCCTATAGTATTTATTGCATTAACATATAACGAAATGTAAAATATAAATATTTAATAAATAGTACAAAGTTGGAACTTCAAATTTCCAAAAGCATAAGAATAATTGATCCCAAATCACGCACACACACAAAAAAATACTGATTTAAAAAAATTAAATAAAAGATGAATATATTTGAAAATAGAGAAACTCGCAGACAATAATACTAGAATTAACAGTTAAATACCTAATGTATATACCTCCTACTAGCATCGAAATATAATATGAATTTTCGGCTAACGCTTTAATACTTATACTGGAAACAAATGAAGAAGTAGAGACAGTATCGGATCCAGAGGGAGGGCTCAGGAGGCGCACATCCCTCTCATTTGGAATTAATACATGGCACCCGTTCCCAGAACCAACTTTTTTTTTCTCTGTAAACAACTTTTCGAAAAGAAATTTTGATCCGATCTGTAGATTATCTTCTCTAGAAGGTAATTTTTTCTAATTAATGCATAAAAAAAGGTAATTTTTTGATTTCCCAGGGGGTTTACAAAATAATTAGGAAAACTCAGAAAGAAAATTATAAGTAAAATAGCAAATGTTTATGACACCACGACGCGTCCCACTGTCACCTTCTTTATTCAAAATCTACAATGAATAAGCGTATAGGCACAAATAGGAGGACCTTTAATGGCTAAGCTCCCCGAAAATTTCAATAGCTAATCTAAAACCCTCCAAAGTTTTTTTATCTACTTAATGAATTTGGTACTGGTTTGTTCATTTTAATCCAATGACGAATATTTACTGACATGTTGGGAAATAACAAAAATAACTAAGTCCAAATATAAATTTTAATTTATGAATTATGATCCAAGTCTATGATTCGGACTTGGATTATTATGCAAAATTCTTGTAAGGACTTGGTCCACTTTGTGCGAAGTTATTGCGATTTTATTTCCGCCTGGGCATAGGTACTTATCGCCCACCAAGATCGCGCAAACGCACCGGCAAGTGAGGTAAGGGCCTTCACGGATTCCTGTTGACGTCCGGAATTTAGAGAGACATCGAACGTGAAGACTGGTGATATACTTTCTATTTATTTCGTAAAACATAGTAGGTAGATAAGTACATAGCGAAAAACATCGCGTGTCGTCACCGCGTTCGGGAATCATCTCGAATTTTACAGAACTTTCGAGAATGTTCCAGAAGACTAAAAAAAGGCTCTGTATACGTTGTATCGATATACAGAGAATGCAAAGAATAACGGTGATGTTCAACTGCTACGTAAAATAAGCTATCAGTCATCCTATAATTATTATCAATCATAACTATCGATCACAACTATTGATTTATTATATTATCAATCATCTTCACGAGTCAACTGATTTACATACTGATATTACGGAGACCTAAACGAGTGGTAGCAAACTTATTTAATAACAAAATTATTCTCTCAGTACTCACTCCGCAGCAAGTCTGGTTATATTTATCTCTTACCAAAGGGTAAATTTAGTTGATATTTGTGTTTTCCACTCAATTTAATATGCCTTCTCCTAAATCTACTGTCCCTTATGTTGTTACCTGTTCTCTTTTTTCAGCTTTTACTAAAACAACAAAAACATAAACCTCTTCTTCTGCACTTCTTTTGGTGTTCGATTTTCAGAAAATGAGGGTACCTACCCTCTGGTTTGCATGATTATAATAATTTTAATACTAATTGCATTTCATGTTACGAAGCTAATTCTGGCTATAATAATTTTCTTACCTAGTTTAATAATTTTAAAACTTAAAGCTTTGATAATTATATTTATTGTTCAAGTTCCGAACAGGAACCTTCTACTAAAAATAATTATTTGAAATATATTACCAAAATGTACGTAGCCTCCGAATTAAGATTTTAAATTTTAATTCCAATTTAATATTACTTCAATATGATTCTTTTGTGCTCACTGAAACCTTGCTTTTGCAGGGTATATCGAGTGCTGAATATTTTTCATATGTGATAGAAATAAGAACAGTACTAAAGTACGTGAAAGTGGGATTCTTATAGCTGTTAAAAAATCTTTAAACCTTTAATTCTTCACCCTATATATGATAATACTAAACAAGTTTTTGTGAAATATTTGTTACCAAATAAGGTTAGTGTACTAATAGCGGGTGTTTATATACCACCATCGGCAAATGTAGAAATATACGAGAACCATGTTAAGGAAATCAATATTATATATCAGTCTTGCATATGTGATACAGGCATTTTATGTGGGGATTTCAATTTGCTAGTTGTCAATTGGAATATTGGAATAAAAATGATGAAAGGTTAAGTTAGGTTAAAAGGCCGGGGTCATACCTGCCACTTTCTTAAATAAAAATAATACAATTATTGAACAGATTTATTTGTTGTTGTTTTAAATACAAGATAATATTTTAATATACTGTATTAAGTTTCATAATTTTTAATATAATATTACAATTTACCAGGTTAATGATACAAAAATAATAGGTATCAAAAATGACCACATTATTTTAAAGTAAAGAAAAATGATGATGAATTAGTAGAGTAGCTAAACGTACATGTACAGAGGTTTGGTGAAAAAATAATTATTTCAATCACAATATAATAAGATATTGACTACCAATTTTTTTTTTTTTTTTGACATTTGTCTACAAAAGTGTAAGTAAAATGTCATTAACTTGCTGTGTGCTGATCGTTGTGTTCGTGATAAAGTGGTTTTTTTCAAGTATGTATCAGTAGTTTTCAACATGGTCATGTCTACATACAATTTTACTACAATGTAACGATTATTTTATCAAATCATTTTTGTACATATTTCCAAATAATAATGTAGTCAAAGAAAAATGAATAGCTGTTATGAAAAGACAAAATTTTATTCCAACATATCACAGGATATGTATGTAATATTCATTTCACTTACAATGATTTTGTACAACACTTTTAGAGTGAAATGTTAAGTTCTTCTATTTTGAAGGCTTCTGTCAACAAAAGATAAGTTACATAAAACAATTTTGTTACAGTACAATTAGTTCTTTTAATGTTTTTGGCTTTTTGGGATAATTAGATAATTAAGTAAAGAGTTTTTTTTTTGATGTGTAAATAAAATAAACTATTAAATTATAAATATAAATAATTACGTTAATTATTATTGAAAATATTTCTGAGTTCATTAATTATGATAAAATTGATCTGTGTATAATTATAACGATAAAAATTGATAAAATACCATAACCTTCAACCGACATGGCGGAAAAGTGGCATCACCTAGCCTGATTGTGAATTTATACCATGATTTATGATAGACGATAGAAATCATGATTTATACTAGTTATGTAGCATTGTTAGCAATCTAGTTTATTATCTATATCTGTGAATTTAGTATATTATCTTTAATCGTGGTTTTGACCACGGTCTTATCAATAGTTCAAGTAACGTCATACTATTGTCAGTGCACTGCAGAATGAGAACCACTGTGTGTGCCGATACATATATACATAGACCTATTAATGTATGTTTATTGGTCTATACGTATCTATAGATACTCCAAGTTTTTATTTTTCATTTTTGTTTTGTCAAATAGACGGAACTTCTAAACGAGATAACGTCTATCCTGACACTTTATCATAGCTAACTTCATACTTGTAAATAATGTAAAAAATAAGAATGACGTGGTTATGTTACGCGGTGTAAAATTGTTATTTTGAAAGTTGTGTCACGTACGTTCTTTTAGTTTAGTCAAGTATTAATTTTGTTACATTTTTTAATAGTTTACGTACTTTATTAATAGACACGATGTTCGACGGATTTCTAGATGATTTAAAACGGATGAACAAACGCCAAGTAAGAAATATGGATTATAATAATACATATTGTGTATATTACTTGTCCAATATGGCAAGGTACCTATTAACATTTTTCAACATTTAGATAGTATTTATTATTATTAATTTTTTAATAAATTTATGGTTTTAGTTTCTCTATCAAGTGTTGAGTTTCGGTATGATTGTTTCATCGGCATTAATGATATGGAAAGGTTTGATGGTATTCACCGGCAGTGAAAGTCCAATTGTTGTTGTATTAAGGTAAATATTTTTGTATTGTGTCAAATTATTTAAATTTCTTATATACTAACTACCCATTTAAATACCTATCTATCTAGTATACCTACTATATAGTTTATATAATATACCCCCTGAATTGAATATCTTGGCGATAATAAAGATAATCAAATTTTTTTTTATAAAATCATTAAAAAAATAACTTTATTTTATTATTTTTGGAAAATTTTAAGATAACCATTCTGTAGAGTTTATTTTTCTGAAAATTTTAATGTATCACACATTTATATCCGATGAATAGTTTCTAAGTAACAGCCGTTTTAAATTCTAATCCATATAAAAACATATATTATCGCGATTAGATTAACAGAATTTGATTATCTTTATTATCTCCGGAGATATTCAAGGAGTACATCTTTGTGGGACAATCTGTATATTGGGTTTAATTTCTTTGTTCAACTAATCAAAAAGTAAAACATTCACATTTTGCTTTAATAGCATTATAATTTCTATAATTGTAATAATTAGAAATTTGGAATTACCTCAAGAATTTTTTTCGAATTTCTTAGTCGTTTATTTTAATTTAATTTTTTTTACGTAAAGAAAACCAATTAAAATATAAAATAAAAAATTATGCTTGAGAGATTTTTGAAATTTATTCTGTTGGTCAAACTTAACATAACCTAATTTTTTTTACTAATAATTTATAAAAATAGGTAGATTTTATTATTTCCATCATTCATATTTAAGTACAAACAATATACTATATTACTCAGGGATCAATAATTATCGGATAATTGGTTAAAAATAAAACAAATAAATTATCAAAATGATCGATAATTAATTTTTAATTAATTTAAAGCAAAAAAAAAAATGTATAATGTGTTAAAGGTAATGTTAACTATGTATAGAATCAAAAAGCTTTGTTTATTGTTAAAAAAAATTAACATATAAATAAATAATATAGTTTTAATTGAATTTTGTTAATTTTAAATTTTTGTTATAAATTAATAATTTATTATATTTTTAGAAATAATGTTATCAGATTTGTTTTAAATATTATCTTTGATACTAAGTATTGGATAATTATTAGTGAACCCTAATATTAATTGTTTAACAAATAGGAAAAATTATTTATAATATTAAGTTGAAAGTTGTGAAGTTTAAAACACTGATAATTTAAAATATTACAATATTTTACAGTGGTAGTATGGAACCAGCATTTCATCGTGGAGATTTATTGTTCCTAACAAATTATGAAGAAGAACCAGTAAGAGTTGGTGAAATAGTTGTGTTCAAAATCGAAGGGCGTGATATTCCTATTGTCCACAGGGTTTTAAAAATACATGAAAAGTTTGTTTCATTTAAAATTTTAAAAGTGCTATTACTAATTTATTTAATATTTTAGAAATAATGGCACAATTAAATTTTTAACGAAAGGTGATAACAATAGTGTAGATGACAGAGGTTTGTATGCTCCTGGTCAGCAATGGCTTGAAAAGACAGACATGGTAGGCCGAGCAAGAGGATTTTTACCATATGTTGGAATGGTTACAATTTTAATGAATGAATATCCAAAAGTCAAAGTATGTACCTATTAGATATTATTTCATTAAAATTATAGGAGCCTTATTAAATCTTGTGTATTAAAGCTCATATCTTTCTATTGCTACTGGAAGTTAGTTATATGTCCTATATAAAGTTAATATTAATTAAAAAGTGTGTGGGGATTTGGGGGTAAGTAATTTATCCATGTTATAAAAAATATATGGTTAAGTTATATAAAATAATGGAAAAACAATTATAACATACCTAAACTATTCATTATAATGTATGCAATTTAATTTAATTTATCTTTTTCAGTTTGCTGTACTTGCATGTCTTGGACTATACGTACTTGTACATCGAGAATAAATCGCCAATACACCAAAGCTGTTCTAAAGATATTTAAAAGTCCTATATCCATATCTGTTGATTTAAATGTTAAAGACATGCGGTTTGTATTACTCGTGTAGTTGATATAGGATCTTCTTCAAAATGTTATGTTAATTTCTCATTACCTTTTGAAGTGTAACTTTTAAGACAGACTTATAAAATATATGTGTATATATTTTTATTAGATCAATTTAAAAAAATCTGCCTTTGTATTGGCTGAAACCCTAAAAAAAATATATATTTATTTATAAAATTATTATAAAATAATTTATTTGTTGTATATATTATTAATATAAGTTAACATTTTTAGGGACATTGAATATATTCAAATATATATTTTATTTATTTATGACCTATTTGTATTAACTATAATTATATGAAATTAGTGCTTTTGCCAGGAAAAAAGGCCGGGAGGAACTAATAATTTGTATTATCACCTACATTTTTAGAATGTCAACTCACCAAAATAACTTAAATAGTCTATAGAAAAAAATTATGGAGGGGTATGTGCATTCTTCATCCCTTAATTATAGCACTGTATGACATAATCATAATTATATTTTCAATTCATAGTTATGATTTAAAATTCCTTTCAAAGAAAATGTTTTTTTCTTTTTTAGATTGTTATGTTCATCAACCGTATCCCTTTATTAAACTTTTAAATGCATATTTAAAAATGATTATTTTATTCAAACAAAATATTCAGTATTTGAAATTAAAAAATCTGAATAATTTGAAATGAAACTGTTAAGTAAAAGTGTAATTGCAAAATTTGGCACTTGTTAATAACAATATATTTTATTTAATTGGTGAAATTAGTTTTCTCGTTTTAAATTAAACTTAAAAAGCATCTTAATTAAATAGCATCTCATCATCATCATCTAAAGGCAGCACTTTGTCGTGTTAGCCATATGTCTCTTTCCATTGACACATTTTTCAGCTGTAAATAGGACGTGACCTCCATAAGGTTTTTAAGATCTTGGAAATACTATGTTCTTGGTTGTCTTACTTCTTTTCCCGAAGATATTTCCTATAAATGTGTTATGTCTAAATAAGTGCCCTATTAATGTTGTTTTTCTTTTTAATATGTGTCTCATTATATCCCATTTTTCTTTTATAGCCTATATAATAAATCTGTCATCATAGCTTGATAAAGTATTATATTTATAATATTCACGACTGTTGTGTGTTAGATAGTAATTTAATGTATTATAATAATGAAAAACAAACATTTATTAATTGTAATAAGTATAAATAACTATTTTATTTTAATATTCTGGTTACATAATACTTACATTATTATTTTGTTATCTAGAATAAACTTAAAAAAAAAATTGTTTTTCTATTATAATTTATATTGTCATAGAAATGTTTTCATTGTTTTATTTTTGATACCTATAGAATTTATTGTTTCCAATAAATATGTTAGGAGATCCAGACGATGAATGGGAGTATATACCTGTAGAAACAGCTGAAGAAGTAAACTCCTGTGGAGATATGACTGAGTGTAATCAACTAAAAAATTGGAATAAATGGCTTAAAATAAGGAAAGAACAACATAGATACCTCGGTTTAATGGTGAATGTTCAAAATAAATATAAATAAATGTTTTTTTTAAAAATTTAACAAAATAAAATGCATTTTATAGGTATTTCGTAGTACCGATTCATTGTTAATGAACAAGTCTGATAAATTTAGATCAAAAGTAGAGTGTCAATGGATGATTGATCTAGCACTCAAGTTAAAAATTAATAATGAATATAAATCAGATTTTCCTTATTCAATCTCTAAAGAAATAAACAAATTTACAAATGTATATACACCAGATCTAATACAAAAGGAAAAAGGCTTATCAAACATTAAAATTAAACTAGATTATTGTACAGATTTTGAAAATAATAAATTTAATAAGCTCAGTAAGGAATTACATACTCTCAAAAGTTTGTTACCTGTTAATAGTTCTCATAGTACTGGAAAATTAGCTATCTCTGGGGAAAATATTTATAACAAACCTAAATATTCTTATAGAGGTATAATACCTTCAATTTATGTTTCTATGCAAAAAAATGATGAATGTGATGGCAATACACTAGTCGCCATTAGAATTAACCATTTTATAGTTAAATCAATGAACAAGACCAGTCAATTTGAAACTTGTAAGTTATACACAAAATCAAAACCAATTAACACTGTGAAAGTAAATGAAGATTTTTGGGATGAGATAATAATAGAGAACTGTGGCCAAATCAACATACAATATAAATGGAGACTAAATGAACATATAACGACAAAATATGATAGTATTTTCAAAGAACAACCGTTGGGAAGTTTTTATTTTGATACAAGAAAGAATATTTTGGGGCCAGGACAAGTCATTCGTTTAAAAGTTTTATTCAGACCAAACAAAATTGGACCTCATAGTGAAAATTGGTTTGTCCAAGTAGAGATTTTGGGAAGATTGGATCCTATAGCTGGAATTAATATATCACTGCAGGGTATCGCTGTTCCAAATATATCTACATCCACAAAAAAAGTAGGTATATATGCCTATATGTAAAAGATATATTTACATATTAGTATCAAACACTTTTGTATTTCTTATCTCTACTGGCTATTATAATAATGTAAGGTAGATTGGTATATTATTTTGTAGTGTTTTGAATGCTTAAACATTTTACAAACATGTTGTAAAATGTTGTAAATAATTTTAAAACATTTGGAAAACCAACACCGGTCCCTTAATTTCTATTTTGATTATTATTTTACACTGATGGTTCAAGACTTCAAGGATTTGCCAATTTTTTTGACTTAACATCTAGCAGAGTGCTTTGGAAACTCATTTCATATTACAATGGTCTCAAATTTCATAATTTAAAGAGTTTTTTAGCTTATTTTTATTGTTTTTTTTCTAGCTTTTCTGAGAATTTTTGTTTTTTTTGCATATCTGCTTAATTATAACACTTACTACTAAAAACCTTAATATTTTAGTTAATTTCTGTTTTAAATTCTGAATGAAGCCAATTATTATTATTAATTTTTTCTGTCTGTACACAACTTTTCTCCTAGAAATCTTGCTCAGATCTAAACATGATATGAGACTTTTTTTGTTGCATTAATAAAAAAGAATTTATAAATTTTGAAATGTTTTATGTATAAAAATTAAATGGCAATATAAAAAAAAAAAAAAAACATTTTACTACGTCTAGAAAAGGTAAGTTGATTTTAAATTATTTTTTTTTCAAAACATTAAGTTTCAAAGAATAATTTTAATTAAAGAACAAAAAAACAAAATTAAAAATAATGCGACCATTATTTTCGTAAACGTTACAGTTCTTTCTATGTTTTTTCTAGTTTTGCTCATTTATTAAAAAAAGTACATGAAATTGAAAAAACTATTTTTTTATTCATCAACAAGACTAAAAATACAACAAAAAAAAAAAAAAAAGTCATTCTAGGTAATGAGAACAAGTGTAGCCACTGTTATAGATAATTTAATGTAACAAGTACACAACAGGTAAGCAACAATAAATCATTGCTAAAAAAAAAACGATTCTGAGCGGAGTTCAGTTAAAACTGATGTTTTGTCAACAATATGTATGTTATTTTATAGAAAAATAATTAAATAGGCTTTATATATTTTATTTAATAATAATTTTTTAATGATGTACCTACTTTCCCAGTTTTCCCATGTTTTGTCCCGGTTTTTCACATTTGCTGGGCAAACTCTTGGAAAAATTACTTTTCTAAAGTATCTCGCTAGTGAAATTTCCTTTTAGAAACATTGCTATCATTAAATGTTTGAGCAAAATTGCTTGCAGAAAAATTGTCCATAGAAAAAAAAATCATAATATTTTACTATTATATTTCGTACATTTCCCCCTTTTTTTTTATCACTTTCCCATTTATCGGGAAAACTACCTAGAAAACCAAAAAATTACCATCCTAAAGTATCACTCCAAAAAAATGTCCCTTCAGGAAAAGGTCTATATCGTATACACAGTCCCGGTTTAAGTGATTTGGGCCTTAAACAAATAAATAAGTCAGACGAACCTAATTGGCCATAAAGAGTAAAAGAAAAAAAGGTTTATACCTGTTCTATATCTCAACCGTACTTCTAAACTACAAATTAAAATAAATGCCATAGAGTTTTTGTATTATTCAAAATGTACAGCTCGATATAAAAGATACAAAAAACCTTTTTTTTCTTTTTAAATAACTGTAACCTTTTAAATAGTTCATAATTCAAAAAAGATCTATAACATTCCTTCCAAAATATTGTTCTCCATACATTTCATAATAGGTACTTTTATTCTAAAATCAAAATTAGGCTAGTTTTACTTATTTTGCGTAAGCATTGTTTTTGTATGTTACCCGATAGTTGGACCGAGACAGTATATTCGGATATAACGTCTTCTTAACTAAATCTGGAAAGTTTCAGATACCAGAAATAATACTATCTGAAAAAATCAAAATTGTGTGCGGTAAACTGGCCGGCGCTATTGTCGATAAAGTATTTCCGTCGATCAGAACAGAACGTTCGACTATGGATCAATACCATTACCACGGGCGAAAAATGGACCGATTGTACAGCGCGATGCACATAACCAATGAAGGCCCGGTGACTATCGATGACCTTATGTACCGATGTACACGATTGGGACGGTCTCTTCAAGACAAGTACTCGGAATTGGTCGGCCGGACAGCGGTGACGTTGCTCAAGAGGGAAATGGTTTGCGGACACGGAGTTCAAATGACCAGAAGCGAATTGAATGCGCACAAGGTCATGTTCGTGGCACTGAATCTCGTCGATCTGACGTTGAATGCCTATGAGTCGGATTACAACGAAGCGTGTCAAGAGCTACTTCAGAAAAAAAGCTCGATCAGTATGAAAAAGAAAGGTTCAATATTTTTAGGTTAGAATTCTTATAGTTTATAAGTAGGAACTAGGGTGATGACTTTGAGTATAAAATATTTCACTTTTGAAACTATACATTTTGAAAAAAACTTTTTTGATTTTGTTTTATTAAGTCCTAACTAGGGTTGGGATTTTATAAAATGCTACAGCCATCTAAAAACTATAAACATTATTACCTATTCTTAATTTTTAAACTATATATTGAATGTTATATTCGAAATTATAATTAGAATAATTAGAATAATTAGAATAATTAGAATGCATCGTCTTGCACTCCGGAATATTTTTCTCTTTTATAGTAGGTGATTTTACTTTGAATCCAAAATTAAGCGATTTCTGCGCAGTCTGCGTGAGGTAGATTTTACTATAATATTATTGTCCGTTAATTGGACTGGACAGCACATGCGAGTATGACGTCCAGAGTGGCAGAGTAATCTTAAAATTTGTTTTATTACTATAAAATTAAATCCTGACTATTTTGCGTTTTAGATGTTAGTATTATGTTTCCATTTTTACCAGCTTTTAATAAAAATTGGGTCATACTTTCTGAAAAAAGTTATTATTGCTTAATTAAAAATATTCAAATACAGTAAAACTTTCATGTTTAACGAAGGGTCCCGAAATAATGACCGTCCTATAGAGGTGTCCTATAAAGGCATATCACTTGACGGGACCAAACAAAATTACCTAAAATGACATAGTAGTAATATATAATGCTTACTTAATTATTTTACCATAATAGCCATATTATGGTAATAATGGTATATGCCAATATACAGGCTGTTTCAAGAAGATATACCCCTTGAATATCTCCAAAGATAATAAAGATAATTAAATTTTGTTTTTATATACATTATTCAGAAGGATGAGGATTACAAATATTTGTATTTTAATTACATTTTTTTGGTATTAAGCGAAAAATAACTTTTTGTTTTTTATTTTTAGAAAATTTTAAGATAACCATTCTGTAGAGTTTATTTTTCTGAAAATGTTAATGTATCACACATTTATATCCGATGAAAAATAAACTCTATAGAATGGCTATCTCAAAATTTTCTAAAAATAAAAAAATAATTTTTTTTACAACAATTTTTATAAATATTTATAGTCCTCATCCCCGTGAGTAACATGAAAAACAGAATATGATTATCTTAATTATCTCCCGAGATATCCAAGGGGTATATCTTCGTTATTTGTTATTTATTTATATATTGTTAACAAAGCATCACTATCAACTGAACTCCGCTCAGAATTGTTTTTTCGTTAGCAACGGTTTATCGTTAATTACAGATATCTGTTATACATTAAATCCCCTTATGTATCGTACCTTCTCTACTTCCCACCTACAACAGTGGCTACACCCGTCCCCATTATTTTAGGACGGCTTTTAGATTCTGAGTAGAGCGAAGAATCTTATGATTTACCAAGATGTTTATTTATTTATTTTTGTTATCTGTGCGTAACTAGTCTACCAGAAGACTTGCTCGGGGATTTCTAAGTGTAGCACTTTTTCTGAAAAGAAATTAGTGTGTGGAGATACTTTAAGAAGGTAATTTTTCGATTTTCTCAGGAGTTTACTCATCAAATTTGAAAAACCGAAAAAAAAAATGTACGAAATATATTACTAAAATATTACGATTATTTTTTTTGTGCATAACTTTTCAACCAGCAATTTTAATCCAACTTATAATGATAGCAATATTTTTAAAGGGAATTTCATTGGAGAGGTACTTTAGAGAGGTTACTTTTTCGATTTTCCAGAGTTTTCCAGGTAAATTTGAAAAACCGGGAAAAACGTAATAGGAAAACTGGAAAAATCAGTATAACATTAAAAAATTATTAAAAAAAATATAGAAAGCCTATTTAATTATTTTACTATAATATGACATATAAATTGTTGATAAAGCATCACTATTAACTGAACTCCGATAAGAATCGTTTTTTCTTAAGCAATGGTTTATTGTTACTTACAGGTATACATTAAATTCCCGTTTCATTATCCTGGGACGTCTTTTTTATAATAAAGTTTCAATATTAAATTTTGACGAAAATCAGTATGTGGAAAACATGTGTAAAAAATCTCATAGACCTATTGTTATCCCAAAAATCGTAAGTTTAAACCCGAGTACTGAAAAATATTTGTTGCAAAATCATTTTGGTTAGGTAACAAGGAAAAAACAAATGCATTTTGGATGCATTTAGAGACCCAAGCCGTCGATCGTTAATTATTTTAATAGAAAAATACCCCTCGATTTATTGTATACATTTTTCTACCAGAAATTTTGCTCCGATGTATCAATTGTAGCACGTATTCCTAAAGGAAACGTTATCTACATGGTTATCTACTATAAACAGGTCATTTTTAGATTTTCTAAACGCTTTTCGTCATAATTGGAAAAAATTGGATAAAAAGTCGGTAAAACGGGAAAATTTACGAAATTAATGTTTTTATATCTATTTTAGTTTAGAATATTCTTAATAACTTAACATTTAGACAGAAAATTTATTTTTACCTTTTCTAGACGTCGTAAAACTATAAAAATATTTGAGCAATTTTTGAGTTATTTATAGAAATTTTAATTTTGAGCAACTTTTATCTGATAAGTACTCGTGGATAAAATTGTTAGACTAAACAGAAATGCTGTATTCAATAAACATTTATTTTATTATAATATAACATTATATATTGTTGAAAAACAAAAATATTAACCAAAATCCACTCAGAATCGTTTTTCGTTATCAATGATTAAACTTTAATTACAGATATATATTAAATTTCCCTCTATATCCTACCTTCCCAATTTCTCATCTACAACAGTGGTCCACCCATCTATCGAAGTATATTCTTTTTTTAAAATTGTTTAATTCTTTGTTACCTTCCTACTTTTGTGTTTTCAAGACTGTGAAGTTTTATAGTTCATAATTAGAATATGTTAAAAAATTATGAAAAATTTAAAATATTATATTATTGAGTCTACACATAATACATTCATGTGCAGTATTTGTCAAAAACGAGTAAGTAACATTGAGGAAGTTTATATAAAATTAATTATGGTTCATAAAAACCTAGTATGTACAAAAACATATATATGTATTCAATTTAAATTTTTAACCATGTATCAAAATAAATTTAAATTTAAAACCTTGTTTCAAATTAGAATTTGATTTATTATCATTTTTAAAAACAAATTAATTACCAAAAAATTATTATATTAAGTTGGGAACAGTGCTTGACTTGCAAAGTGCAAAATAGATAACTACTTATTTGGAAGGCATTGGATGGTATTGTCATTTGTATAAAAATAAATTTTCATTGAACAAAATATCTATACATTACGCAGTCATCTAATTTATTTTTCCATCAATTACAACTCATGATAAACTTTATGATAATTTTTTAACCATTTTTGCTGGACAAAACCAATTTTATCCACATAAAAACTAAAAAAACAAGAAGATTTTAAATGGCTACAAATTTTTTGTACAAACATTTTTAGAATATTTTGAAAATTGTATACCATATCTAGAAAGGGCTAATATAATGTAGTTATATAAAAGTATTTGGGGAAATACGGTTTTTTTTTATCGATTTACAAAAATAAAATAAAATTGATTATAATAAAATCTCATATTGTGTAAATATACTAGTTTTTCCAAAGTTTTTCTAGGTTTTTCACATTATTAAAAAAACTACATTGAAAATAAAAAAAATGATCTCTTCATCAAATCTCCCTAAAGTACCACCTCAATCAGATTTCCTTTCAGAAAATGTATTCTCATTGTAAATCAAAACAAAATTGCTAGTAGAAAAGTTGTCCATGAAAAAAAAAATTTTAAAAAAAGACAGACAATACTGCACACAATGTAAATTGACGATGGGCCACTATAATAGATGAGATATTGAGAAGATAGGAGAAAGAAGGGAATTTAATGTATATCTGTAAGCAAAATTTAATCATTGCTAACAAAAAACGATTCTGAGTGTATTTTGGTTAATATTATTACTTTTCAACAATATATTATGTCATAATATTATAGAAAAATAAATGTATACTGAATACAAAATGTCTGTTTAATCTAACAATTTTATCAACAAAGTACCTCTCAAATAAACATTACTCAAAATTAAAATGTCTATAAATAACTCAAATATCTCTACGCGTCTTTGCTAATGAAAAATGATTTTAAGCGAAGTTTGGTTATACATGTTTAAAAGACCATAATACTTAGGATTTTCATCAAAATTTGACATTCAAATTCTTATAAAAAAAAATATGTTACATTAACTCAAAATTTTCTTGTTAGACACTAAGTACAACTTATAAATAACCTCCTATTAAATTGTCAAGCATTTTTGACGTCTGTTCGGTCTAACAATTTTGTCCACAGATGACCTAACAAATAAATCACCAACCGAGTAAAAAACTCGAAAATTTTACCATATCTAAAATAGACAAATATAAGGTTTCTGTCAAAATCTCAAAACTATGAATTTTGTTTACTGAATAACAAAAAAAAAAAACAAAATTAAATTATTTTCGTACATTTTTCCGTTTTTCCTACTCTTTTTCCCATTTACTATGAAAACCTCTGGGAAAATTAAATCCCTTAAGTACCGTCTCAGGATAATTCCTTTTCAAAAAGTGCTCTATGTGATACTTCGAATTTCTGGTAGAATTTTTGAACAGAGTATAAAAAAATTAAAAAAAAAAAACATTGTAAAACCAATACATTCTATGCTACACTCAGAACTCAGTTACTCGTTGCGTATAAGTATATATTGAATTTTCCCTCTACCTTCCCAATTTCTCACCTACAATAGTAGCCTACCCAATATGCGAATTATGTCCGTATCTTTTTACTTCTTTGATTCGAATATTGTTTGAAAACATTTCACAGTTTGACTGTATACTAGAAATAGAAGGACTAAAAATACTATAATATAGCCTGCCGCATACAACATAATATATGTTTAATGGGTCAATAGTGTATGTAACTAAAAAATCACAATAATTTCAGAAAATGAAGAGTCCATCAATACTACTGTGGACATGCAGGACCAGTCAAAAGAGTGTGCCATTATTAGAGAGGATTGGATAGAAATGACAAAACCTATGATCTACAAACATTTAGAATGGGCAGTTGACAGAATTTTAGATTACAATGTCCGATGGACAGAATGTCAACACAGAATAGACGATGAGACCATTAATAATAAACATGCCCAGGACAGTGACCGCGTTTAAATAGCAAATAAAACTTGGATAATAATTTATTTTAAAATTTTAGAATTTATTGGTTTTGCTAAGATGTTTATTTTTTTTCTTATATATATTATGTAGGGTTAGGTTAATCAATATGATCAAAAATATCCTACCACAGTCATATGCAAGTAGCCGCTAGCCTGGTTTCTCCCGACAGCCGTCAAATTGTATGGCGATTAACAAAATTATAATTTACAAATTTATTTAATTTTATATTGTAATAATAATTATATCGTCATCTACCGGGAGTTTTATTTTACGTCATTATGAAACGGGCCACATATAAGTAATGCATACATTTGTAGAGAACCTATGTTCTCCGATTGGCTCTCATTTCAACGAGATAACAATTTCATTATCAGTATTTTTTTTTTTTATTTAGGTACCTATACGATAAAATAGGTACTGTGTATACATAAAAGATAGATTGTGAGGGGAAAAATGATTATGTATGAATGTCACGTACATCACAAATTTTGTAATCTATTTATTTTCATCTAATGAGTGTTCTTTACGTTTAAATTTTTTATCTAGGATGTGTAATAATGAGTTTAATTATCAAACAATATTAACCTAACCTAACCTGAAATACTAATTTGATATTAAATTTAATATTTACCTAACCTACTTACCTAAAAATATTATCCCCAAATTTCTTCTATGCATGTATTATAATTGGTCTAATATAAATGGTATTTTAATAATAGTCATATAAACAGTATTTTAAATTTTAATAAAACAAAAAAATGTTTAGTTTATAAAAACTAAAACATTTAAATGTAATACTGATAAATTGTGTATCAACTCTACTCATGGCACCAATCAATACAATTTTAACCTAACAACAATTGTAGTAATTGATGACTTTGATGAAAGATACATAATAAATGTTTACATAAATTAAAATAGGTATAATTAGGTAGGTTGTTACATTACATAAATTTTAGGTAAATAATTCGGTAAATGTCATATAACCCTATATAACACCGGCGTTTGGTGACCTAAGTAAAGATGGCAGCGACTGGTGTCTTGACTTTTGTTTATAAAAGTGTAAATAGTAGTGTATGTAAAATGCTACTAACTTGCTGTATGCTTGAATTTGCTAATAAAGTGGTTTTTTCAAGTATGTATATGTATCAGTATTTTTCAACATGGTCATCTATACATACAATTTTACTGCAGTATAACAATTATTTTATAAATCGTTTTTGTATAGATTTCCAAATAATAGTGTAGTCAAAGAAAAACGGATAGCTGCTATAAAAAGACAAAATTTTATTCCAACATATAACAGGATATGTAATATTCATTTCAGTGACAACGATTTTTTACAACGACCAGATATTATAAATAATAAACATAATATAATATATGAATAATTACATTGATTATTAATGAAAATATTTCTGAGTTTATGAATTATGATAAAATTTATGTGTGTATAATCATAACGATATAAAAATTGATAAAATACCATAGCCTTCAAACCAATATAGCGGAAAAGCGGCATAGCCTGGCCTGCTTGTGAATTTATAGTTAGCAATCTAGTTTATTATCTAAATCTGTGGTGACTGATAATTACTATCAATTTGAGGAAATGTTAAAATATTATATTATTATGTCCACATTAAATCATTAAAACCTAGGTATATATTTTAAAATAATTATCTCTAGTACGAATTAAACTATTTTTATTCCTGATCTCTAGTAAGGTCATAGACATATCATTAAGATATCTTAATATGTCTATGAGTAAGGTAACTGTGTCGTTTATTCCAGGTAGGCAGGTAATGATAAGAACCGTTTTTTTAATAGTAGTTAAATATTTATTTATTATCAATGTTTTAATCATAATTTTTAATCATTTTCGAAAACAGATATGTTGTCAGCTTATAGATATATAGCATTAAAAGTTCGAATCATAGTTTTTTATAAACTGCAAAACATTTAAATAAGAACTGCACATTTTGTATACAACTGCACAGTGCACGTTAGCGCAACCAATGATTTAATCCTACATCAGAAGGGATAGCAATGAATATAAATTAATACTAATTACAAGTACTACGCATCGTTTAAACTAGACACTTTTTGCCACCATATGGTAACTAGCGCTATCTAACGGTTTTTGATTATTCCGTTTGAAACATATGCATTGTGATTATAAAAAAAATAGCTTAGTTACACATTAAGAATTGATAACAATAAAATTTTTGTCTCTCACATTAGTCATTATTCCGTATTTAACAATTAACATATTTACCTTTTAACTTTTTACCTACCTACCTAACAAATTGTGTGCACACAATGTTTTTATTCATTTTTTTCTTACTTTAATTACGAGTTTTTATTTAGACTTAAAATCGATGTAATTTCTTTTGTTAATTCATTAAAACTATTCTGAATGCACCACAGTTATGATAGGAAAATTGAAATTGATATTATTATTTGCCATCATATTTTCAAATAGTGTTAATGGTAAATATTTTATTTGATATATTATTATATTATTCATTACTTAGGTTCATATGCTATAGTTTATTTAAGAAATAATTTGTACCTATTGGTGTTATTATAGGTATTCATTATAAATTATTACTAACCAATAATGGCCCAGTAACTACTGGTGCAAACATCACCATAAATGCTACAGTTGTTGATTATAATGGAAATTGTATTAAAGGATCATTGACTTTCAAATATAAAGATGATGCGTTTCCAAGACATATATCTAATGTATAGTAATACTTAACAGTATAGTAATATACCTTATTATAAAAAATTAATTGATTACCTCTACCTATATTATTAGTAGTTTTAAAACTACAGCATTATATTTTAGCATTTATATTTATAAAACTAATTTTTGTATTTATAACAAATTAGAAAGAAACTAAAAGCTGTCAAGCAATTTTCAATGTACCATTTGAAACAACAATTGGACCTTCAATCTATAGATATCAAATCGATGTTTTTGAACAAATAATACCCCTGTTAGATATTCCAATTGTCAGTGATCGTGGCCAGCTAAATATTACAGGTAAATTTCATTTCTGTACAATATTTTTATGAAATGGATAAGGTATGTTCAATTTTTATAATGTTTTGATATTACAGAATATTTAAATGGTCAACTTCAAGTGTTCCAAAATAACACAAACCTTTCAAAAAATGATCCACAGATTATTTATGTGTCTTCTAGTTTAGAAACTGTATATAAAATTGAACTCAATGCTGCTGATATGAATTATCTTAATACAAATAGTAATTCGATTACTATTTACTGGTTTGTTGACTGTATGTACCATGGAAATACTACTAACTATACATTTTCTAGCAATTTTACTCAATCCAACACACAGCATGAAATTCTTGGCATTGTAGTAGCCAATATTGGACCTCGTCCACAACCTACACCACCAACGCCAATAACAACTATTGTTAATCCCAATAATACTGCTAGTACTACAGTTTCTTCCATTAGTACAACTGCGATTACTTCTACTAATGCCAGCATTAGTGCTATAATTCCTACTGTGTCTGCTGCTGTTATTTCTAACACCACTACATCTCCGGCTCTTTTGAAAACTGATGTTAAGTCTTCTTATCATGTAATCAATTTGACACACACTACAGAATGTCAAGAAAAACAAAATATTGATTTGCTTTTATCTGCGGTTAATTTAGAGAGTCAACAAAAATATGGATATTTTAGTCGCTCTGTATTTGTCAAAGGTTATTATATTTCTTTTTTAAATCATATAATTTCTGTTATTAATTTTTGAACTATAGAAATTTAATATTTTATTTATTTAGGTCCGATAGCAAATATTAAGACTCAAGGTAAAGTGTGGATACAAGAAGGTGAAATGTTAAATCTCCAAGTAATGATAAAATGACATTGTGTAAAACTTAGCACTATGGTAAATTAAATATTTGTTATATATTTAAGGTGAGTTGTAATGGTAGTGGTCCGTTCCGTTACTGTGCGTATTATGTACAAGGACCTCACAATATAACTGGTAATGAAACATGTCAGTGGGAAAATAATTTAATCCAATGCCAAACAGTATTTTTTCACTATTTTCGCCAACCTACCAACTATACATTAGTTGTTATCATAGCTAATGATGTTTCAAAAGTTATAACACCTATTGGAATTAATATTTATAAAGGTAATTAATATTTTTAAATTTTATAATGTTGATAGTGCAATGCTTGAAATTAACATGTTAAGTTTTTATTTTAAGTTTTCAAATTAATATTGATAAATTATTTTACTATTTTTAATTAATTTTAAATTAACTTAAAGTTTGAGATAATAATTTATATTAGTTATATTAAATTAATAAAGTTCTACTAATGTTTTTTCATTATAAATTTGTTTACTTTTGATAACTTGTAAAATTGATATACTTCATTAATTTAACAACCTAAATCAATGTTCAGAGGATTGCATTCATTATAAGAATATGAATATGATTATTATTTTAAGATTAATATAATGTGTTATTTTACGCTAATTAAACATCTGTGAAGTAAGTTTTTAAATAAATGTTTCATACACTATTAATCATATATATTTTTTTTAATTTTCAGTAAAAAAACAACCTCAGATATCTGTTATTGTAGTACCTGTAACATTCAGTTCAATTGCTATAATTATTGTTGTATTTGGAGTAGCGTATTATTTTCAAAATAGATCAAGGTATAAATAATAATTAAGTATTATTTTTCAATTATTATTATTATTTAAATTAAATTAAAAAAGGTTGTTGCATTACTGATTGTTCTAATTAATAAGTTTGGTTACAGTTGTAGATAGAAGTTAGGAAGGTAAGATATACAGAGTAATTCACTAAGCTACCTCATTTTTTTGGTTAAATTTCACATTTATTCAATTTTTGATTTTTTGATTTTTTAAGTGTATTTGAAGACGATATTTTCGAGTAACAAGATTTTCCACTACATTTAAGGAGTATCTTGTGGAAATACCAACTTTGGTTTTCTCAAATGAGAACTTATATTAACAATTCCATAAATTCACTTTTAATTTTAGGTAGGTGGAGAGTAGTGTAGCACTAATAAAACATTGTGCACCTTGTCATATTAAAAATCTCACAAATAGACAGAGTATTACTTTAAATAAATTTTGGTATCGACATTTTTGATTTCTGTTAACCCGTTACCTGTTAATGAGATATTCCACTTTTAAGTTTAGGTAGAGAAAAATTAGTGGAATAGTTTTCAATACAACGGTACGTTGCACATTATTTTATTAATGTTCCACTACTCTCCCCCTACCTAAACTTAAAAGTGAATTTATGTAACTGTTAATATAGGTTTTCATTTAAACAACCAAATTTGGTATCACCACAGGATACAATTCAAATGTTGTGAAAAATCTAAGTATTTAATAATATCGGCATTAATTACAATTAAAAATTCCAAAAGTTAGAATTTGAATGTATGCAAAATTTAACAAAAAAAAAAATAAGGTGAGCACTCTTAGTGAACCTTCTGTATAGAATAGTTTATGTTCCATATTGTATGAAATGATAAATCTTTTTAAATAAAAATGATTCTGAACATAGTTTGGTTATATATTTTTTGATAAAATAATATTTTAAATTTTGTTAATGTTTAGCTACAAAATAAAATTGTTATTAAAAAAAAAAAATGATATCCTATATTTGAAATTAAAATGCTTTAAATAGATAATTACATTATTCTGAATTTTTTTATTGTCAGTTTTTGATTTTTCAATGGGTTTTCGGAAATAATTAGGAAAACTGAAAGAAAATTGTTAAAATGGCAAATATTTATGGAGCGCCATGGTATTACCAATTTCATTGTTTTAATCTTTGCAACGTTTATGTTTTCTATTAAATATATTGCCCTAATTGAAAAATGACAAGAGATTGATTTTGTTTTTTATAATACATTGCTATTAAAAAAAAGTAGTTTTTTAATATCTAAAGTATTTTTCATAATAATTGAGGAAAACCAAAATTTAAAAGGTGAAAAACATGATTATGTCCCCAGTAGCAGCTCTTTTAATATTATATTGATCTTGGTATGTTATTTTATATTAATATTTATTTATTTTTTAGATATATGGTTGAGGTAGCAGATTTTGATTTTGCCAATAACTCAGACATGGAATGCAAAACATTTAGAGAACGATTACGCGATGCCATTAGTCAAGCTATTAACCGTACAAAAGACTATTCAGAGTATGATGGTAGCGAAGAACGAATTGGTGGTTTGGATACACCTCAGAATCAAAAATATGGTAGTATGCAATGACCAAGCACTTCAGTCGGCCCAAATAGATGCGATGTATAAATAGCATTACATAAGGCTGACTATGGATTAAGATTGTGTTGATTAGTATACTTGTATTGCAACAGTTCCTTATGAAAAAAAAGATATACATATTTGTAAATATATTTTTATTGGCATTCCAAGTATTTGATTAAACCAACAAATTTAATTTAAAATTATAGTACACACTTTACATCCATAATGACTTTTTTGGGTTTATAATACTTTACGATGATCATATTTTTGCTGTAACAAACTAGATTTAATTAGATATTTAAAATGAACTTTCGTTAAAATCAATTGAACATTTTGATAGTTAGATTAATTTTTTGTTTGTAAAACCAAATGAGACCTAAGTCCTAATCTAACTGCCCATTATTTGTATTTAAATTTAACAAATTTTGTTTTTAAGCATTTAATTTTTTACTTAAAATTGTTTAATTTGATTTTAATAATAATTTTACTTTAATTATTCATCTTAATTATTCTTCATAGTTGCTTTATATAATTCTTTAAATTAAATTATATATTTTTGTTAATAATATTTTAATTTTTCTTAGAAAGTAATAATTTTCTTCAATAATTTATTTTTTTTGATAATTTAATAAACAAGTTCTACTAGCTCATTCTAGCTCTTTCAGTTTACAATTATGTTATTTTTTGTCATCTTTATATTTGATGTAAAGCCATTACGTATTTTTATTTCCAAATGGTGCCCTATATTGAAAATTCCATAGTTACATGAATTATTTATTTAAACATACTTTAGTGTTAACATTTTTAGTTTCGGTCAACCAAGTAATGAGATATTCCACTTTTAAGTTTCTGAAGGAGGATTGTATCATTTGTGTGGTATTTTATTTATGTTCCACTATTCTCTCCCCATCAAAACCTAAAATTGAAATATCATCTCATCATCAACAGGTTAACAGATCAAAATTTATTTTAACCAATATACAATCTGTTTGTAGAATTTTTAATTTAGGTAACCATTTGAAAATTAAAGTAGGTATTTATTTCACCTTCAAAAATAATAGAAATATACGATTTTAGAGTTGCTGTTTCTTAAATACTTCACAGTTTTTTTTTTTTTTAATTAATACTTTTTGAGATAGTGAGTGTACTCACTTAAATGGATCATCTTGTATAGATATAATGAGATCAGAACTTAATGTGCTAAAAATTACTGAAATGATGCACAAATATCATTGTGATAGTAACATAATTAAAATATGCTTTAATAATTTAAAAATAGAAACAAAAAATGTGTTAATAAAAATTAAATCAAGCATTAATTTCAAATTAAGTAGAAAAAAAAAATTGTATTATCTAGTTATTTTTAGTTTAACTAGTAATCAAGAAAATATACTATTTTATTACCTACACATAATTTAATTGTTAATTTTTAAATTAATAATAATGAAGTTTTATAATGATTCTTGAAACGTTCTGAATTGATGACAATATTATATATTCTTAAGAGAATATTTTAACTTTAAATAATAATTATTGTTTATTGTTCAATTATAACCTTTTACATAAATGTACAAAATCAGTTTTTATTTTTTTTAAACCTAAACATATTTTGATCAACTTTTTTTATATCAATATAAATTGATATTATAAATTATTTATCTACTTATCCTAATAATTATGTGCCAATATTTTGTATAAAGATAATATGCCATTAAGTTAATGACAATATTTTCATTATTTCTTATCTCAATTATTAATAACGCCAGTTTTAGCATAGTTGAGTTGTAATTTATTTGATGCATATTATTATTAATCATTAATCAATTATTATATCATTTAATTATAAAAATGTTGATCTTAAATTTAATAACATATTCAGAGTTCAAAATGCTCAATAGTTGAAATTTTTAGCTCAAACAGGAAATATTTAAATTTAAAAACTATATGGTTTTCTTTCAACATTATATTTAAAATATTATTATTTTTATTTATTGATTTGGAATTGTATAATGTGAGTAATTGTTGGTTGCTTGTTGTGAATTAGTTAAACTGTAAAACATATTGAATTTGTTACATTTAGTGTTTAGCTATTATAATATTATTATTATTATTATTGGTGAAACAGTAGGTTATTCATGTAATCCATTATTTAACCAACAAATATATTTAATGTTTTAATTTTTATCCTATTAATTTTTATTTTACATGTGTATATTATTTAAATTGTGTAATAATTATATTATAGATAGATATTGTCAGTTAGATTAATTGTATTTTCAGTTTGGCAAATATTGTTTGGTTGGAGTGCAAGCACATTTTATGCAACCCACATGCTAAACAGTTCTTACAAATTACTTTTACTATTCAACAATAACTAATTATATTGAGTATCATTTGGCCCATCATTAAGACTTAACAGTAGTTCAGCATAATCTTGCACCTCCAACATTCCTGTTTGTTGTGGCACTGTGTATTATATCACGTTGATGGATAGTAGTGCAATAATATTGCTATAGCAGTAATGTTGAAATTTGTTGCTATGAGTCACTTGTAAATATTACTGCTAGAGTAGTAATATAAAAATCATCCGAAAATTGTCATTACTGATGTGGCAGTGATATTTTTAATGGTACCTTACGAAGAGGATGTTCTGACTACCATATTATTTTTTCAGCTTGTTTAAACAAGCTGTATTATTCGTTGACAAGTTATAGTAGTAATGAAAATTACATTTTTTGTAAAAATTAAATTAAATTAAATGTCCATCAACGTGATACTATTCTCTATTTCATTATTTTTAATTCTTATGTACTTGTTATATAATACAATTTATTAAATATTAATATACTACCAAATTATATATTAAATATAAATGATATATAATATATTTAATTAGATTTTGAAATAAAAAATAGTTTATTGTGTTTTCTCAATATTCTCATATTGTGTGTGAATGTAAGGATAAATGGGATAGTTAATTTATAATAATATACTATATGGTATACACCAGATCAAGCAGATGGCAAAAAGGATTAATACAGAGTTAAGCTATTCAAAAGCTTTTAGCCTACATATTTTGTATATTTTTATATAAAATAAAATAAGATTAACATATCTAACCTTCCTCTCAGAAAAAGTGCTATCATTGTAAATCTGAGCAAAATTGCTAGTAGAAAAGTTGTTCACATGAAAAAAAAGACCGTAATATTTTTTTACTAATACCTAAATTTTGTAAATTTTCCCGGTTTTTTCACATTTATGTGGAAAATCAAAAAATTTAGTTCATGGGGGGGAACTCTATTAGTATGTACCTATATTATTTGTAATTTGTAGGTATAATATTAAGGCATAAAGCCATGAAGTGTATATCAATAGTTTAAGCAAAACTGTTCAAAGCAAATCTATGATGTTAAGACCGATGACCGATAGGTAAAGATTTAAATGTTAATTATTATTAAAAGTGTAATCAAAAAATTAGAAGATAATCGAAATGAAGAAATATTAAAATGTTTATGTGATGAACTATTCAAATTTTCTAAAAGAATTGAAGTAAATATTGGTGTATTGACCAAATCTAAACAAAAAAGAAAAACGTTATTTGAAAATTGAGATTTTGATATTATTTCTTCATCTAGAATAAATAAGTTTTGGAGAAGCCACTCATAACTACTATGAGATTTATGACATTATAATTAAAGAATTAAATAATAGATTTTCAAGTGAACATTTATCAGTGAAAAATGGCATTGGTAATTTTTTTTAAACTAAATAGGTACCATTGAGTCTGATTCTTTTATTCATCACTGCCAAATATTATTTAATATTGATTTCAAATTAAACATGGGAACTTGATCAACTAATACAAGGTGCATATGAACCAGTAATTTGAGAAAAATATAAAAAGTAGTATTAATATTCCTCGTTACCACAGCTAATTGTGAATAATAAATAAAGTTATATATTTTACTAAATTAGTGTATTTTTGTTTTGGCACTTTTTAATTTTGGAGTGTAGCAAGGGATCAAATGGTTTTACTATGATGTGTGTTTTCTTATATATATATTTTTTTTTTGTCTGTAAACAATATTTTTTTACTAGAAAACTTGCTCTGAAGTATAGACTATAGCAACTTTTTTGAAAGGTAATTTTCTCTAGTTGATGCTTTTTTTGATGAAGTCATTCTTTAATTTTTTTGGGGGTTTTCGAAATAATTTGGAAAAACTCGAAAAAAAATTACAAGTAAAACGCCAAATATTTACGGCACGTCGTGGCGTTCCGTTTACATTGTTTTTATTACGTTTACACCATGTTTTCTACTATAAATATTGCTCCAATCTAAAATTGACAAGAGATCGACTCTTTTTCTTTTAATACATAGTCACTAGCAGAGTAAGTGGTTTTTTTATATCTAAAGTATTATCCATAATAATTGGAAAAAACCAAAAAAGACGAAATATGTATGATATTTTTCCAAATTACGGCAAGACGATTTCATTATTTTAAAACTTTCAGAACATTTGAGCAACTTTTGAGCTATTTATAGATATTTAAATTTTGCTAGTATTTTAAGTACCTAATTTTTATTTATTATGTAGATAAATTGTTAGACTTAACAGAAATGTTTGAAAATTTGATAAGAGGTATATTACAAGCCGTGCTTAGTTTTAAAACAAAATTGAGTGTAATGTTGTATTCTTTATTTTTTTCATAGATTTTAAAATCGAATTTTGGCGAAAATTGTAAATATTACGGCCTTTCAAAACATATATAACCGGACTTCGCTCTAAATCTTTTTTCGTTATCAATGGTTTATAGTTGGTTACAGGTATAAATCAAATGACTTTATGTATCCTACCTTCCCCATTACCCATCTATAACAGTGGCTGCACCCAGGAATTATCAATGGGAGGGGATGTAGTAAATAAGAATCATGAATAAGTAAATCATAAATTCGTCTTTTTCATTCAAATTGACTGTGGGAATTGGTAATTTGAAAGTCGGATCCTAAAAAGACCTATTTTTAATCTATAAGTCAAGATTTTCCTTGTAACTTGACGGAAATATGTGCATTTCTACATTAGATAACTCATATTTTTTTGCATTTTAAGCCAATGGGGGAAAGAATCCCTAACCCCCCGTTGCGCACTTCACTGGTTACACCCGTCCCCATTTATTTTAAATATTTTATTTTTAGTTACTAGCTTATTTAAGTATTTATTTATTTATCTACTTTATCTATCACGCTAAATCAATGCCATATAAAAAAAATATAATAATAATAATTGTGAACAATCCTTTTCCGCTAAGCAAAGGATTACAAAATGGCTTAGATCGTTTATGGAACAGCATTGTGATGATAGTTTGGCATTAATGAATAATGAAAAGGATATTCTTACAGATTTAAATAAAGAAAAAATTCTTGACGAATTCGCTAAAAAATCAATAGAATTATATTATATTTTTGTTTTTATTTTATTCATCAATTAAATTACAAAGATATCAATTATAAACTTCAGTATTTTGATTACGTATTAAGCATATTATGTATATTATAATATATATATTATATATGAACACTATTTTATTATAATTACTTTATTAATATAATATTTAGTATTTAGGTAATACACTGACTGTATTTGATTAAAATCGAAATAATGTCATAAATGACAAAATAATAGTTAATAAAAGAGCTGATACTGGGGATGGGCGTGAAAACTATTATAGGTGTGGAGTTAGGAAGATAGGAAATTGAGGGGAATTTAGTTTATATCTGTACGCAACGATTAACCATTGGTAATGAAAAACGATTCTGGGCGGAGCTCGGTCAATAGTATTGCTTTTTCAACAAGCCTTTAAGGCTCATATCTGGTGATCCCTATCTACTAATAACTCAACAAATTGTACTTTGGAATAATTCGAGGTCTACTACAAGATATTGTCGTCCTATAAGATTTCAATTTGCTCACGAGACAACGGACCACGTTAAAAAAGAGAAAGAGTATATAGAAAATCAAATACGTAAATTAGTACCCACATTATACGAAATAGATGGTCGAAGAATTGAAATTCACCACAGATTATTATTTACAATGGTTAACGGTAAAATATGCAATTCGTTAACAGAAAAAACTTCAACCTTAAGATGTTTCTTATGTCATTTAACATCAAAAGACTCTTAATAATAAGTGCAAAGAAGCAAAATAGTATGCGAATCTGGATTAGATTTTGGTATGTCAATGCAACATGCTTGGATACAATACATTTCTTTAAATATCTATTACAAATTACTATTAAATACATGGTAAGTTCGGAATGTAGAAAATAAAAAAATTGTTAAAAAAATAATAATAATAAGAGAACAATTTAAGTGTCAATTTGGATTAATTGTTGATAAACCAAAACATTGGTACGGTAACAGTAATGACGGCAACACGGCTAGATGTTTTTTCGAAAATGCAGATATATCAAGCTCTATTACTGGAGTTGATGTAGTGATAATGAAAAGATTTCGAACCATTTTGAAAACTATGGCTAGCGGATATACTATAAATCTAAAACTGTTTGAAGAATACTCTTTAAAAACGGTATAATTGTTTGTTGAAAAATATCCCTGGTACATTATGTCGCCTACTATACACAAAGTATTAATTCATAGACCCAATATTATAGAGAAAGCAATACTCCTTATTGGACAGTTAGGCGAGGAAGCGCAAAAAGCAAACAACAAAATGTTTAAAAGGTACAGAGAAGGATTCGCACGCAAATTTTCTTGCCAACAAAAAAATGAAAAAATATCAATAGGTTGTTAATTTCTTCAGATCCATTTATCACTGGTATGCACAAGTAGATCAAATTGAAATCAACCCTGGATGCTAATGTGATTCAGTTGTTAGAAACACCAGATTTTGATGATTTTGTCTTCGTCAAACAGTGAAAACTTGTTCATTTAAAATATTTCTGTTTTTATTATTTACAATATGTTTCTAAATATATGTTTTATTATGTTTCCGTTTTATTGTTATTGTAAATGTTTATGAGCATAAGTTTCAACTATATTTATGATATGTAATGTGTTATAATCTAAAAAAATACAAAAATTAATTTTTGCCAGCTTTCGATATCATTGGCCCCCGTGTGCGACGGTCCGTGGGTGGTAATCGATGGTCCGGTGGAGGCGGCGGGGATTTCGGTGGCGACACCGCGAAGAATAAATTTGATGTGCTCGTTACGTTTGCTATTACGCGTACAAATTTTCGGGCAGAAACCACACTGGAACTTGACACTTCCGTGCGATTTAGTGTGGCGTAACATATTACGTTTAGTGGAAAACACTTCTCCACAACCAGCGTTGGTATACATAAACATTTTTATTCAAAATAAAAACGCGTAGTATTACAAGAATTGAAAAAATTAACACAAATCGATAGTGGAGGGAACACTGGAAGAGACGAGTGCTCAGGTTTGTAGTAAAATCATTACTGACGATCGATTTGTTACCGAACCCAGTATCTATACAAATCGGTTGACGTTTGCAGAATTTGTGCATGATCGAACAGGAAAACGGAAAATAATAGATTATTATCTGCAGGTTCTTACAGTCACGATACGAACGGCTGTGTTTTTATGTACCGGCATGTGCGCGCTGTCGCCGTCGTCGATATATATTACCATATATATTTGCTTTCGATCAACTCATGCAGGATCGAACAGGCCCGTTAAAATGTACTGTTTAAAGCATGTGTCATGTATTTGGATGACTGTGATATAGGTATTAGTATGGCGATGAGGTGTTACGGGAGATATTTGTTGAGAGGGGAAAGGGATGCGGGGTTACGTCAGATTAAAGTACCGTGTTATTGGTATGACGACAAGGTTACGCCGGATATGTATAGAGAGGGGGAGAGGTTTGCGGCAGCGAAGAACGAAAAATAGATAAGACATTTTTATAATGATAACATTGTTAAAGCGATAACACAAATGATAACATGGTTAGAGTGATAACAGTAGAATATAATTGAAAAAAGAGGTTGGGGGAAAATATATGTTGATGAATCGGTAGATAATTTGGGCGGCTATGTAAAAGTATAGCGCCCCTCGAACAACTGTGAAAAAACTATAGCTCCCCAAGGGGAGGTATGTTATAGGTATAGCTCCCCTTGAATCAGAACCGCTCTTTTCTTCCTACTTCAATGACATTAAAATAAAGAGGTTATTAAAGAGCGAAATTCACGTAGGAAAAAGGTAAGTTGGGTTGAGATAGTATTGGTATTAGAATCAGGGGGAGGAGTCGATTATAGAATTAATAGGTTTGATTTTTGAAAAAGAATTCGTGTGAGACTAAGTAAAAGGTTTAGAGGACCTATTTAATACCTATGTTCAATTTCTTTTAATTTTAACAGAAAATATAATATTGGATTTATAATGTATACAACGTTTATTACCCTCAAAATATTCCATGAATACACTAAAATTTAGGATATTTTCAATAATTTTATGGAATATAGACAAAATATTACAGTGCTTATTAAAAGTAGCCTATAAGAAAGGAAAAAAATATGGATTTAGATCATCGTGTGGCGCGGCGGTGGCGTCAAATTATTAATAATACGAACGTAATACTCATAATAAATAATAATAATTCAATGTAGATAAGGTGGGTTTATTATATTATATTGTTGAGTGATAATAAATTGTTTTATCGATTTCGAAAAAATTCACCCTTAAACCGCTTTCGCCATCTCGTCTTTATTCGTAACACGCGGAAAAATCGAACAAAAGAGCAGAACCACCCCGTGAACATAACTTATACAAAAATAATAGGTAATCCGTGTACCTGGTAAGATTAAAGCTACCGCCGAGCTCGTCTGGTTAATGGATGTTTTACAGACTTTATTCGTTGTTGGTTTTTTTTTTTTTTAGATTCTAGACGTAACCAAGAATGATGTATTGGTTTTATTATACGAAGTATGACATTTCTTTCTTTTTCTTTGTTTATCTGTAAACAAAACTTCTACATAGGAAATCATCTTAATATTGTATATTCATAGTACTAGGTTTTATATCAACTTGGTTGAAACTATTTATTATAATTTTTTTACACGATCAAATTCTCAACATTTGTCTTAATTTTTAAAAAATCCTACGTTTAATTAAAACTGATTTATTAATGGGAAAACTAAATATTATTTATTTATATTTGTATGACGCCCGAAGGCAATAGAGTGTACAAAGAATTATTTTAAGATTAAATAACTTAAAGTTATAAACTAAACAATAAAAACTACAAGATTATTATAAGATACAAATAATAATAAAATAATACAAAATAATATAAGAAAAAGTAAGTTATACTTCAATTGTAATATAGAGTATGCAAAAAATTATACAACAATCAATTCAGTTCAAAAGTTTAAACATAAATGCCGAAGTTTAGATTCGTAATCGTAATTAAAATCAAAATCTTTGAGGTTATAAAACCGAAACATTTTACTCTTATGTTCATTATAACTGTAGGTAGGTTTGAGCGTGAAATTACTCATACAAGGTGTTCTATTCTAGGTAATATTATTATGAATTAATTTGTTTGTTTTTAAATATAGGTACCAAACTAATACTAATAGAAATAATTTAGTGTTTTTTGTTTATACCTACATTTTTTGTGTGTATGTAGAATATTGACTCGTGTTTAGGTTAAATATTTACACCAATCTTTTTTGATGCTTAATGTTGCTTCTAGATATTTATATTCCTTCACTTTTTAAAAAGTTAACCTCTTTTTTGTTTGGCGTCTACATCACTAATGATTAGTTTCATTATCTTTGCCTTGCTTAGGTTTATTATTAAGTCGACTTTCTCCGAAGCCTTTTTCAATGCTCTTGACATATAATATTATCATCTACTTACGGCATGAGTCGTTTCAGTAGAAGTAGTTTTGGAGAATATTTTATGCAGTATTTAAAAGCGAGATGCCTCTAGTTGCTGCTATGTGTCATACATTAACTTTATTTTATATTTCTAACTTTCAATAAAGGTTGCTTAAAAACTTACACTTACATTTTAAATTGTCTCCGGAAAATTTCCTCAACATTTTACCGCTAGATGTATTTACCTTATTTCCACGTAGTAATGTTTTTTTGTTTGCATAGCTATAAATTGCGAAAAGTTAATTCGTGTAGTATATGATGTATTATTATGTATGAAGGGGATTATATATTTCTAACAGGATCTTAGATTCTGAGCAGAGAAAGGAATGAATTGATTTTACAATGATGTTATTTTTTTCTTATTTTTTTTTATCTGTGAATAACTTTTCTACTAGACATTTTGCTCTGATTTTTAAGTATAGTACTCTTTTTGAAAGAGAATTTGACTAGCTTGGGTAGTACAGTGGTAGTTTGGTGAGTTCATTTTTTAATTTTTTCAACTTTTTCATAATAAATGGGAAAAAACGGAAAAATGTACGACATTTATTATTTTTAAATCGTAAATATTACGGTCTTTCAAACCATGTGTTATTGAACTCCACTAAGAATCGTTTCATTACTAATGATTAATCGTTGCATACAGATATACCTACATTAAATTCCCCTTTATATCCTACCTTTTTTTTCTGTGGACAACTTTTCTACCAGTAATTTTACTCCGATACACAATTATAGCACTTTTTCTGAAAGGAAACCTAACTGGAGTTGTACTTTAGTGAAGTCATTTTTTAATTTTTCCAGGAATTTTCCCAATAAATGGAAAAAACGAGGAATAACGAGTAAATAAGTACAACATTAAACAAAAATTAAAGAAAATATATAATGCATATGTAATTATTTTATCCTAAAGTGACATATATATTATTAACAAAGCAATACCATCTCAGAACTGCTCTCAGAATCGTTTTTTTGTTAGCAATGGTTTGTCGTTACTTAGAGATGTACATTAAATTACCTATAACATACTTCTATATCGAAAACTTGTTCGAAATTATGATTTTGATTTTCAGATAAACGTGTCCGGTCGATTTGTTATGTTAAAATGATACGTTCTGTTTATTATCACGTATAGTGTACTTTATATTATCTCTGGTCGCGCGCGGTTAACGCATACAAAATATAACATAACGGTCAATTCGGATTTCGGTTTACGTGCAGTGCATAACTATTATGTCAATGCGCATTATTACAATAATATTTTCATAGTTAGGTACGTTTGCAGTAGGTCGACACACTGGTTAGCATGTTTTATCGTTTATTGTAACCCGACAAAACGGTAAATACATACATTTATAATAGATGATATTCTTACACGTATTATAGTGTATAAATACCAGGTATAAATATTATTCCAGTGGAAAATTACTATTAGGTGTATCGTAGGTTAATCTCGTTAGCAAACTTTTATAACATACAATAATTATTTATGACTTATACATGTATATTTATTATCCATCTTTATACCTTTAAACGGGTATTAAGTAGTAGATTAGTGTGAAAGTGTTGTTATTGAGGTAGTCATTAAAATCGAAAACTATTTTTCAAATTTTATAAAATTGGAGAAAATTTTGAAAACCGTCACCAGTATTCTTAATTAACTA